AACCTCCACTACAGGCCTGGAAGCTGAAAGCATTTCAATTACAGTCCCTATGAAAACCATTCACCCTCAAACAAGTTGGAACAATGAATCGAATCAGGCACTGGGAGTTCCCCAGTGAGCGATAGGAGCCATGCTTTCTTCTGTGCTGGTCTGCTGGTCCTGCAGCTTCCAGTGCCCATGTTCTTGTCTGTTCCAAAGAGATAACGTGCAGGATAGCTGTGGAATTAGCACATGTGAAGAAGCTCAAGGATGTAATAAACTGAACGGTCAAAAAGTGCTGTGTGGCAAGAAAAGCACTGCTTGATGCCCCTCAAACAGGTGTTGTGAACCTAATGCCCAGGGGAGGGTGCAGCTCTGGACCTTCTGAGGCCCCAGCCCATCCCTCTGGGATCCCCTAGAAACCCTGTTCCTTTCTCCCAACCCTGCTCATGCAGTTCTTTCCCCCATTCTAAAAGAATGAAATGCTTCTCCTAAGGCTTTGTTCCTGGCAGTAAAGGCTTTAAGCTACAGGGGACTGGCCACTTTTGTACCTGGGGTTGCATCCTCTCTTTCCTGCAGTCCACAGAGCTTCTCTGAAACTCAGTGCAGTCCTCAGGCAGAGAGAGCTTCCCCAACTGTGACTTATCCAATATGGCAGGAGATTTGCTAGATTTGGATCAAAGGGCTACAGTTGAGCCTGTGTTATTATTGAAAGCCACTGCTTAGGTAAAATGGCTGAAATCAGAAAAACTAACTAGGTTCAAAGCACCACAAACTTTCAGCACAGGAACAATCCCACATTGTCTGCAGGACAGATCAAATAGGTCACTCAGGCAGCCTTCTCTGATTTCTATGAATATCCCCCTCTTCACCCATGAAACATTCTAGGCTCTTTGATGCCCTTTCTAGTTTTCTGAAATGAGAGGCACTGGAAGAGCAGAAGAAAGCAGGTGGCCTTGTATTTTTCAAGCAGCAGTGAAACATTTGTGCAAGACAATGTAGTTATGCAAGGGTTTGAACGTGCCCTTCTTTGAAGCCAAGATTTGTTCAGATGAAAGCTGTCCTTGAATGAACGGCAGAGCAGGACTGGGGGGCTCATTTAACAGTCGCTTAATGCCAGCTGGTTTAAAGTTTCATCTCCTCTGAGCACTGAATTCTTGAGCCAACAGAGCAAGTACATGGTGACCCAGTGACTCAGCAACCCACTAAGGAATAAGCCAAATGCAAGCCCCTTGTAAGGGCTCCTGGCAAAAATCCATCACTATGTTAGAAGAAAGCCTTTATTTCCATGTCTGTGTGTTCTGCATAGCAACCCCTCCATTTCCCTCTCATGTGGATTCAGTTTTTATGTGCAGTTGCTAGGTGGTAAATTCAAGTAGTACTACTTGTGACTAGTAAACTGGAAAGAGACAGCAAGTGTCAAGCTAGTATCTCTGGTAATAATGTAAACTGCATTACAAGTTAGTGCTGAGCAGGCATTGTAGCTGTACACTCATAAAATAAAATATGAAGTGTGTGCCTGTCTTAACAAATTGCTTAAAATTATCATCTGCCTTTGGCGAATAACACAGAGATATCTCTATGTGAAGAAATGTGCCAAGTGCAGCTAGTGGACATCAATGAATGTTCTGTATGTTACAATTAGCATCCGATGGATACAAAGGCTACCAGTTGAACAGAATGCATTAAGGCATGGCCCAGCAACAATACTCAGCAAATATGCCTTTGATATCAAATACACTCAACAATACATCTTCTCTAATATACAATAGTAATTGTGCACATTATGAAACAACTAAGCAGCACATTTTTTTTCTGAGACACCATAATACAACATTGAATGTTACATTTACAGCCTGGTTTCTACAGAATCTGAAATGGGTCCTAAGATAACCCAAGGAAATTCTCTGAAGTTCTCCATCTCTTCCACCCTATGTAACCTCCCATATCCCAAGAAAGCCATTGTGGAAGGAGAGGGAGCATGCTCAGTGTGGGGCAACTCCTCCTATCACATCTCTTGTATAGTTTTTGGAATTGGCCACACCCTCCAGAGAGGCTTTTTGATGGTGGTGGGGAGCCTAAGGAATTACAGTGGAAGGCCTGGAAACTTCCCTTCCATGACTCTGTTATCTTAATATTCAAGAGGACTACTAATGCGAATTGAGTAAATATCCTGCACTGGCAATACATAGGCAGACAGCCTGCGTACATGCTGGGAATTATTACACGGGAACTCTTTCCTTGTATGTATAAGCCCTAGGGGAGGTAGGAGGTGACCCGACAGCTATGAAATGAGTCTGCCACGCCACCTCTACCCTGAGACCAAATATAAGGGCGCACAGTACATTCAGCCAAGCCACTCTCTAAGGGGGCGTGCTGTAATGGAATATGTCAAAGAAGACAAGGACTGGGGCAAAATTGCATTCATAAAAGAAGGGGGAAAGTTTATTGTCCCTAGAAGTTTCAGGCAACAGTAAGCTTCTTTTCAGATGTTCAACAGCAGCTTCAACGAGCCAGAGCTTGCAAGACCAGTTTCAGTGCAAATTACAGCAAGAACATTTAACAGTTTCAAACTTGTCTGATGTGCTATGAGTTCAGACTCCAACTGTCAATAAGAATCCAATTTCGACACAAATGGTTTATTTATTGGATTAGTCCCAAGTCCCATGACTAACTCCTGGAAGCTCTGACATTATTCCTAAACCCACTTGTCAAGACAATGCCTAGAAACAAAATGGAACTTTAAGGTTATATATAATCCAAGAATAAAAGCATAAGAGACTGTAATGCAGACACTTAAAAGTAATAAAGTAGTGCCACCTTGTGGAGGATCTCTCCACATTCACACTGTGGCATGAAGCAAGTTCGGCTTTAAAAAAAGAAATGATCAACTTATTCCAAGTAGGTAGAATTTGGAGCTTTGCACCTTCTCATCAAGACACTTAGTGTGTGTAGGAATTTGCTACTAATGTGCCTATCTCCATTTAACTGAAACAAAGCAGCAATTTGAGGTAACCCAGTGAAATAAACCCCCAAATCAGGAATTTCAATCTTTGCAAATTCTTATAGAAAAGGTCTAATTGGCATACGTTTGAACATTGCCTTCCACTACATTTTGTACTTCTGAATGTTTTGATGGTTTCCGTGTATCAAAATATCTCATTTAAAGGAATGGGAAACTTAAGTTACCTTAAGTTACCTATGCTAACTGGTCCAACCTGTGCCCTACAATGTCTGAAAATAAGGTAGGGAAAAACATTGCATCATAAACTCAATTTTGCATATCATTTCAAGAATTCTGGAGCTGATATTTTCTGCTTTTTCTAATGCTTCCTGTATGTACAAAACAAACACACTAACTAACAAACCCACACAAAACTGCAAGCATTTTTGGGTCAAAATGGCTCATCAGTCTAGGGAAAATTAACCCTGGGGGAGCAATGGCAAAAACCTTTTGCCCCAGGGTTCAAATTCCAATTTGAGAACAGTCTCGGGAGCATATTCCAGCAGCGGGTGGGGTGCAGGGGTGAGGCAAAGCAAAGTGAGCTGTATCAATTTGGGCATTTTCCCACCAATCATGCGTAAGCCACAGCTCAATTTTACACATGTTTATGCAGGAGTTGCACAAGTGAAACAGCTTTCAGGCATATAAAACACAAGCCAGTTCTAAAATTTAAAGGAATCAACAGAACACAACAGGTTATTTAAGACTTAAATGCCTTTAAATGGCTGAAATCTCTGATCAATGATGAGAGTGAGAAGGGGGAGTGCGTGTGGAGGTCCCTGTACAGACCTAGAAACAGCCGGGTGGAGACTGCAAAAGCAGCTCGTGTGCTGGATGTTGCTCATTTGGGAGGTAGGACTTTAATGGGATCCGCTGGAGCCTTTAGCAGACTTAAGCTAACAAAATAGATTGTGAAGGAAGGTTAAATGTGAACCTGAGAGGCTGTCCTTAATCAAATAAGAGAAATGCAGAAGCATGACATAATTATACAGAAAACATGTGAAACTAACATGGATCAGAAATAGACAGATTCATCTATCCCTAGCTGAGCTGTGTGAGCTCTACTCCACAAAACTCCACCTGGACTTTAAGTACTGGCAACTCAGCTTAATTGCTTAAATCATTTACTGGGAAGTAAAAGATATGTCTGGCACACCTCCACACTCTCTACAATGCAATGAAAGGGGAAATGCATGCCATGAATGTTTCCTGCTCTTCAGGCAAGTGGGCAGAAGCCTTCCTTTTCCCCAGAAAAAGAGGAACAGGACAGTGGCAGTAGGAATCCAGACCTTATTTTTTCCAGATGACAGGTAGCATAAGCAACCTCTCTTCCTGGATTTTTGGTGCAGAAGAACCGAGGTGAAGTGTAATTATTTACTTCAGGTTTGTGAACTTCTTTCACTTTGTAATTTGAAATGCAATGTAATGCTATGCTCTCCTGGAGCAACACAAGATTATTCAGGGTTTCAGCTCTGAGGTTTTGTGATCCCAGTGCAGGGATCCCATACACAGTGCCCCCTGCTCTGCCTCCTTGCAGTTCCATGGAAACAACCACTCAAGCTGACTCACTGAGGTTGGTAATTCGCCTCGGAAAGGACTAAAGGTGTATCTAGTGGGAGGGCTTGGCTGGGGTCGATGGTTTATGCCATAACCAAATAGCCTCAGCCTCCTTCTCTCTCTCTCCACAGTGCTTCATCCAAATGCTGGGCATGAAGACTGCAGACTGCCACCCTGTCTACATGCAAGCAAGCCTCTGTATTCAGGGGTTCATGTAACTAAAGGAGAGAGACCACTAGATCATGCCCTTAGAAGATAAAGATGGTCAAAAATAGCAGAGGTCAGAGTTCCTTAAGAGCTTTTCCGTTCAAGCTAAATGCTAGTTCAAATGAATGTAAACCAGTTTAACATGAAAAAAGTGCAACCTCCTTGGAAAATCAGGAAATATAAAATTAGGAAATATGTGGAACCTCCATGGGCCACTTTCACTGCCATCTAGCCATAAACACTGGGTGCTAACTCCACTTAAATTTAATTTATTTAGTACTCTCAGATGCATCACTTACACAACCATAAAGAAGAATGTTTGTACAGCAATCACGGGACCCATCTCGCTGCTAGTACACAAGAAACTCACAAGAATAGACCAGAGGATTCTCTTCAATAGCCACATAACCTCATTTCCATTCTGTATAAAACTGCCTAGGTAAGGATCCAGTGCATAGAACTGCGGACACGAACGTAGTCAGGAAGTTGTTCAATAGGACCTGAGAGAGAAGAGACTCATGTCATTCAAAATACAGTAAAAAAACCCCTGGCATCATACCAGTTCTGCTGCTCTGCTATCTACCCTGAAATGATTAATTTCTTGAATATTTAAAGGAGAGCTCAGTAGAAGAGTTCCCAGGACACTAGCAATGTTCTTAGGATCAACTGTAACAACGAATCTCTGTTCTAGGCTCCTGAGCATCCCAAATCTTCAGTGAATACATTGGATTCAGTAAGATGGCAAAATGCAAACCTGACAAATATCAAGCAAATGAGGGTATTTTTTTGGGCGGGGGAGGATTTTGTTGCTTCCCCACTTTTTCTGGAAAGCTCTGTTCAGAGAGTTTTGCTTTGAGCATTTGGTCTGCATCCAAATGATTGCAGGTTTAACAGAGAAATCACGAGCTGCCCTAATTAACCAAGCTGTTCAGGTGGGTTTTCCAAGGGAAAAAATGTCCCAAAATGTTAAATTTTGTAAGCCGTTCTGAGACATTTTATCATGAAGGACGGGATAGAAATGTTTTATTAAATTAAAAAAAATAAATTAAATTGCCTAAAAGATGAAGAGTTGTAGCTGCAAAAACACAACCACAGATAGCAGTGCACTGCATAAAAGAGCCCCGAAGCATTGCACAAACACTACTGGAGCGTCATTCAAGTCTACTTGCAGCTCTCTTCCAGTGAGGGTGTAAGAAGTGCAGCCCACAGCATTATTACTGCCTCATTGTTGAGGCCAAGCTTGAGTCAGAGACTAACTGGAACAGCTAATCTGAAACAACTCAAATACAGCTGAGGCAAAACAAAAGCCAAAACAGGACAAGTGGCCTTATGAAAACTTCCATGAAAAGCAAGCAGGTCTCCCGTTAAAGTAGATACCATTCATGCCTGCTGATTTTTCTCCCCATCTTCCAGTAAAGGACACTGCAAAAGGCCTAACCACTTACCAATTGCTGATACAGCCGGGCATTTGTCATATATATATTTATTACAGACGTCCAGGACCATTCTGGCATCAATTTCCTAAAATAAGTGGCAGAGATAAGCAGAGAGTTACACTTCTAACAGTAAAGCTAAATGCTGTTGCTTGCCACTATGTAGCAGACTGCTAGGTAAGGACTTGTGTCACAGCTGGCAACACTCTCAAGTTGACAACAGCCTTATCCGGGAAAAAGCCTTCTAAGAAAGCTGGCAACATCTCCGGAGATACTAAGGGCAGCTCCACACACTGAAACAAATCCCAAAGTGGTTTACAAAAAATAAAATACAAATGAAACCACATACACACACGCATATCATGAGGCTGCTACAAAAATAGCTCATTACTGGGAGAATGCCACAGTAAACAGGTATGTTTTCAATAAATGCCTGAAACATGCTAGAATTGAGCTCTGACACAACTCAGAGGGGAGATCAGTCCACAGAAAAGATCCATGTTCATGTCACCACCAACTGGAAATCCATATGCCATGACCTGGATCACAGGACCTTGCCTGAAAATCACAATGGCCTGAGAGGTTGATACAGGGGACATAATCTGGTCTTTAGTTGCATATCTTTGGTATACGAACACCAACACCTTAAACTTTCCTTGGTAGTGGTCTAGCAGCCAGAGTAGATCCTTTAGCACAAGAATAATGTGTGCACGGTAAATAAATCACCTAATCACTGCAGTTTGAAGTAGCTGGAGTGCCAAAGGACAGTTCCAGAGAGAGCACATTGAGGTTATCCCCACCCAAGAATAGGGGCAACTGGCATACCAGCTTAAGCTTGTAATGCATGGTTCAAGCCACAGAGATCACTTGGGTCTCCGGCAACAGCAATGGATCCAAGAGTACAACCAAGTGGCAAACCTGTTCTTTCAGGGGAAGAACTATCTGCCCAGAGGTAGGAATACCCCTGGGAACTACTCATTCACATTGCCTCCATTCAGCTTCAGCGTACTGGCCCATGATCCAGCCAACCACCATGTTCAAGCACTGATCTAGGTTGGACATGGCCTCTCCTCAAATATAATGGAGAAAGAGGTGTCAGCAGCATCCAGACAGTACCTCATTCCAAATCCCATAATAACTGCATAGAGTGGCTTCATTTAGGCAAATTTTCAATAGCAAGATGGTACCTTCAGTCAGACACCTCATAATCACCTGGTGTTTGTTAGAATGGTAACCATGCAGAAACTACAGCTGTCAATGGAAAGATGGTTTCAGAAATTAAGCTAGTACCTTAATAAAATTTTACTCCCCCTTCTATAAACCAGTCATGCTTACAGAGAGTCTGGCATCCCATTCTGCCAGAGATATCCGGCGTCCATAGTTCAGCACATGACTTCCAATAGTTTCACATGCAGGAGTGGTTCCTGGAAAACATTAGTTCATTTTCAGTATAAACCTTAAGCAGCCATTCATGACATGAAGAATTTTCAGACACAGAACACGAGTAACACCTACTGTTAGCATTTGATGGTCTTTGGTAGCTATGAGAGCCAGTGTGGTGTGGTGGTTAAGAGCCTGGGACTGGGACTCAGACGACCTAGGTTCGAGTCCCCGCTCAGCCATGGAGCCAACTGGGTGACTTTGGGCCAGTCACAGACTCTCAGCCCAACCTACCTCACAGGGTTGTTGTTGTGGGGATAAGATGGAGGAGGAGAATGATGTAAGCTGCCTTAAGCCCTTTGTAGGAAAACGGCAGGATATAAATTGATAAATAAATAAATAAATAAATAAATAAATGTGTTCCTTTCAGTAATTCATTCATGAAAGCTACAACAGGTTAGACTTATTTCTGCAGGCCTAGTTTCACTTTTTGGAAATTCAGGCTAAGTGAAGCAGCTTGTTGGCCTTATTTTTCTCCATATGAACATAAGTCATGCTGGATCAGACCAAGGTCCATCTAGTCCAGCGTTCTGTTTACACATTGGCCAACCAGGTGCCTGCAGGAAACTCACAAGCAGGATGTGAGTGCAACAGCACTCCTGCCCATGTTCCCCGGCAACTGGTGCACACAGGCAAGTGAGATGGAGTGACTCAGAGTGGCGTGCTACTTACTGGAATGGTAGGGCTATAGCTCCTTGGCAACTGGTGCATGCAGGCATGCACTCCAGTGAAGGAGGCAGCATTTAGCCAGTAATGCTAGTAGCCACTTCTTCCATGACTCTCTCCAGTCCCTTTTTAAAGCCATTCAGATTGGTGGCCACCATGACTTTCTGTGGCAGTGAATTTCATAGTTCAACTATCCACTGTGTGATGGAGTACTTTCTCTCGTCTCTCCCAAAGCTTCTCCTAATCCGTTCCATTGCATGTCCCAAGGTTTGAGTTTTTTCTCCCTCTTCATTTTTTTGCATTCCCTACATAAATTTAAACATTTAAATTTAAATTATAAATTATGGAGCCAGGATGTTTCCAGATTTTATATGTATGTATTTGTATAGGTATTTATTTATATGTTGGAAGCCGTCCCGAGGCTTATGCGAATAGGATGGCATACAAAAATTCCACATAAATAAACAAACAAACATACATCTGTATCATGCCTCCCCAGAGTCACCCCTTTCCAAGCTGAACAGTTCCAGTTGCTGCAGCTTTTCTACATAGGGGAGATGCTCCAGCCCTCCGATCAACCTAGTTGCCCTTCTCTGTACCTTTTTGTGTCATCAGTGAACTTGGGCACATTGCTACTTACTCCGAATTTTAGATCATTTATGAATAGGTTAAAAATGACTGGTCCTTAGAAGTTGCCATTTATTCCCACCCTTTGTTTTCCAATCCTATGGTACAACGACTGCTTTTAGGGACTTATTAAATGTTTTGGTAAGAAGGCCAGAAATTTCATGCTTTAGTTCTTTAAGGACTCTAGGATGAATGCTGTCTGGTCTGGGTGATTTGCTGGCTTTCAGACTGTCAATATGGTTTAGAATAAACAGAGAAAGGAATATGCCCTGCATCCTCCTTTGTGAAGACTGAAGCCATTCAGCTTCTCTGCAATCTCCTAGTCCCCCCCTTAATGCAGCTTTACTTCCATTATTGTCCAATAGTCCAACTGCTTCTCTAGTAGCTTTCCGACTTTGATATATTAAATAATCATTTGTTGTTGCCCTTGATAGTGCTATTTGCTCCTCAAACTGCTTCCCTGCTACTCTGATTTTCTGCTTGCATCTCCTTTGCACAATCTTATGATCCCTTCTATTATTCTCATTTGGGCAAGACTTCCATTTCTCGAATGAAGCCTTTTTCTCCCTAATGGCATCCTTGACCCTTCTTGTTAACATGCTGCCGATTTTCTGGACTTTGTGCTGCCTTTCCTCACTTGTGGGATGCATATAATCTGTAGTTTGACTATAGAGTTTCTGAGTAATCTTTAAACACTTTAAAGGAAATTTCTTTTCTTACATCCCCTTCTTCAGTTTCTGCTTAACCAGTTCCCTCAATGTTGAGAAATTTCCTCTTTTGAAGTTAAACACAACTGTATCTGACCTCTGACAGTCTTCCACTTAACTGTACATCAAATCTGGTACCAGCATGGTCCCTGTTACCTAATGGGGCCTGGTCAACTCACCTAGCTCTAAATCCAGGACTGCCTCCCCTGTTTGGTTCTTTGACTAGCTGTTCTGAGACACAGTTGTTTAGGTCATCGAGAAATGTAACCTCTCAGTCAGAGTTGGAACGAACGTTTATCAAGTCAATACGTGGGGAGATGAAGTCACCCATTATTACAGTACTGCCTTTGTTGGCGGCCTTCTTGATTTCATTTCCCATCTGAAGCTCACATCAGTTCCATGATTAAGTTAGTTTTGCAGTCAGGAATTTTCACCAATAATACTTGAACAGAGGAATTTTCATACTTTAGATTTCCAAGCCTACAGGACTCAATGCCCTCTTTAACATAGATGGCAACACCTCCTCTATTTCACCCTATCTTGTCTTCCCTGTACAATTTGACCAAGAATCAACGTGTCCTATTTGCAGCGCAGGTCACTACAGCATCTCATGTTCTCTCAGATTAGTACGTTGCTGATTCACCCTTCTTAAAGCACATTTCTCTAGTTAGTAAGGTGGGGAGGCGAAGGAGAGGGCCACCATGGATGCGAAAGGAGGTGGTTAGAGGGATTAGACACAAGAGGAACCTCTGTAGGAAATGGATACTGGGGCAAATAGACAAAAGGGTATACCAGGACAAAGAGGCCCGTTGCAGAAGGATTCTTCGCAAGGCTAAGGCTGATTACGAGCTGAGACTTGCAAAGAATATCAAGAGCAACAAAAAGGGATTCTTTCAGCATGTAAATAGGAAGGGGAAGGGGAGACAAGTAGCGAAACCACTAAATAAGGAGGAAGGAGATCCAGTGACTGATATGAGGGAACAGGCACAGATGCTAAATGACTATTTTGCCTCCGTGTTCTCCCCAAAGCAGGATGGGGGATATCCGCATAGGAGATTAGATGAGGCTGGGGACTTAGGGGCACAGATTAGAGTCACCCCCCCTTGAAGTCGAGGGGCTCCTCAGGGCATTGGACATTACAAAGGCGCCAGGCCCTGACAGGTTACACCCGAGAGTACTTATAGAGTTGGCAGGGGTTCTCTCACGCCCGCTGGCCTCCATTTTTGAGACCTCGTGGAGAACAGGTGACGTTCCAGAGGACTGGAGGGTGGCATCAGTGGTCCCAATTTTCAAAAAGGGTAGTAGAAGGGACATGAGGAATTACAGACCAGTTAGCCTTACGTCCATTGTAGGAAAAACAATGGAAAGGCTCATAATATCAAGAGATCTAGTGATGCTAGATAGGGAAGGGAGGTTGGCAGCCACACAACACAAAACGGGTTTCTGCAAAAACAGGTCCTCCCAGACAACTGTGGAATTCTACGACAAGGTTTTGAGATGGCTAAATGGAGGGTATGAAGTGGATGTGGTTTACCTGGATTTCAGCAAGGCCTTTGACAACGTGCCCCGTGATATCCTTGTTGAGAAACTGAGGAGTTTTGGGATAGACCAAAGCACTGTCCGATGGATTAGGGCATGGTTGACTGACCGAAAGCAGAGGGTAACCATTACTGGGGAATCATCAGGATGGCGGCCAGTGACAAGTGGGGTCCCCCAGTGCTCTGTCCTTTTCATCAACGACATGGAAGAAGGGGTGAACAGTCTGCTGATCAAATTCACAGACGATACTAAAACTGGGGCAGTGGCCACAACTGAGGAGCAGGTACTCCAGATCCAAAAGGATCTGGACAGGCTATGGAAGCGGGCAGGAGACAACCGGATGGCATTCAATGTGGATAAGGTCTTGCACTTGGGGCATAGGAATAGGTGTCATAAGTACAGGTTAGGGGACAAGTGGCTGGAGAGCAGCACTTGTGAAAGGGACCTCCGGGTACTGGTTGACTGCAGGCTGAACATGAGTCAGCAGTGTGATGCGGTGGTCAACAGGGCGAACGCCACCCTTGATTGCATAGCCAGAAGTGTGGCTTCTAGATTGAGAGAGGTATTACTACCACTCTATATGACTCTGGTGTGCCCGCAACTGGAGTACTGTGTTCAGTTTTGGGCCCCTCATTACAGTAAGGCTATAGCCAGGTTAGAGGCAGTGCAGCATAGGGTCACAAGGTTGGTGGCCGGTTTGCATTGGATGCCGTATAAGGCAAGACTGAAGGAACTGGGTTTCTTCAGCCTGGAGGAGACTCAGAAGGGATCTGTTGGCAACATACAGGTTTGTGAGGGGATGTCACACGGAGGTGGGTAGAGACCTGTTCTCCCCTTCAGAGGAGGCCAGATGCACACCAACAGAGCAAAGCTCAGGGAACCAAGGTTCCATTTAGATGCCAGGAAGCACTTCCTGACAGTCAGGATCCCGAGGGTGTGGAATGGGCTTCCACAGGAGGTCGTTGAGGCCCCATCGGTGAGGGTGTTCAAAGATAGGCTGGACATGCACATGGTAGGCATGTCGTGAGTGTAGCTGGAGGTCAGACTAGATGGCCCAGGAGGCCGCTTCTGACTCACTCTGCTTCTATGTTTCTATTTCCTTACTATTTAAAGTTTCCTTACTATTTAAAGTACTATTTAAAGTCTAGCTTGGGCTTTTGTTCAAAAGGGAATCAAAGATAAGGAGAAACACTACTCGCCCCCATACTTTTCTCACTTATGGAACCAATCTGCTTTGAAATTGGAAAAAAGGAGTTGGCTATCTTAGAAAGACATACCATCCAGTTGAGCTATCAAAGTGTTTCGAAGGATGTTTTTGCCTCTCTTGATCTCACTCTCAGTCAGGCTGGTACAGAGGCGTATCCTACACAGCAAGTAGAGTTAAGGAAGGACATGTTAATCAAATGCCAGCCTCTTTTTGGGGACATCCTCATCCCCTCCTTTCAGTTTAATTAGACCTGAAACCTTTGTTAAAGCTGCTACTCAGTGGACATATTCCAAGTTAAACACTGAAATGATGTCAGGTTCACTAGTTATATAAGAGTTGAACGAAGAAGGTCAAAATGCACCAAAAAAGATTTCTTTTTTTAGTTTCCCTTATGTTTGAGTATAATAATGATATGTAATCTCAGTGCTAGAATATTCAGAGAAACTGAAAATTACATTCTGTTGGAATTTCACAGTGATAAAGCAAAGTTTGGGAGAAACTTCTGATTACAGACTGAATGGCCATTTCATTACCTATGATATCCAAAGACTTGTAGAAAAAGAGTAGTGTCTTTTAGGTAATCCTTTATACAATACTGACTCCTTAGCAGTGAAAGATTTGCTAGAAGAGAGAAAGTGGGAAATGAAATCACACTCACCATTCATGCTGGGCAGTATTAAATGCCTCTTCAACGTTCAAAGCATCAGTAGCCAAATAGAAACCAAAGAGACCTGTATCAGAGTAGCAAGTGTTGAATGCTTGGAATCTTTGGCACATCTTGGTCTGAGAAAAAATTGAAGCCAGCCTGCAAGACTGATTCTGAAAATACAAATTGTGACATGTCATGGACATCTAGTTACCCCAAAGAGCCAAACTTAGATTCATCGAGCCGTTAACACCAAGGAAGTAGGCAACTCAGACATCAGAACTCATTGCTCATAATCACACTGAGATATGGTTGTATGGATATGGTAAAAATCTAAGTTAGAAAACCTACAGGAGGTAACCAAACTATTACTGCTTTAAGCAGTAGCTCAGACTTGGCACATAAGGATACCAAGTCCTTCCCTTAAGATTCATTTGCTACATTACGTACTAAGGTCTGTCCTGAAACTTCAGGCATATTAAAAGTAAACCAAACGCATGAAAGTTTTACATTGAATCAGGCCAGTGGGTCACCTTACATATTACTGATAAACTTGACCAGCAGTAGCTTTCCAATATCAAAAGAAGATGTCCATTCCCAACTCTAATCCTTTAAAGTGGAGATATTAAGGGCTGAATCTGGGGATTTCTGTTTGCAAAGGCCTGTACCACTGAGCTACAGCCAGTGCAGACATCTGCCATAAGACATCAAGGAGCACATCCTCAGGACCATATCCATGATATTAGTTTAACTAAGAGTTTGTGCTTCTGTTCTCATTCCTTTGCTGAGTTCTTCATGTGAATGAGAACAGCACAGATAGCTGCTCCTGGAAGCCAACATTTTTCTGCAACCAGTACCATCTGTGTATAGCTTGACTGACTAAAGAACCTAAACACTGACATCCCCAATCAGCGCACATTTATGTTATGTGAGACCTCCACTTGAAACCTTAATTCTATAAAAGCAATCTTGCTTTCCATAACTCTAGTCTCTTCTGAAGACCTGCCTACCTCAACACAAAATATAAGGAAATGTGAAACAGGCACAACATAGAATAGAGGGAACGTGAAACAGACATTCTGATCTTAGTGACTTACCTTACCACCACCAAAGGTAGGATCATAGCGCCCAATGATTGCGTTAGCAACCAGAAGGGGAATATTGTCTGGACTGGCCCAGCCTGGCCCTTCCACTGCAACAGCAATATGAGCCAAAGGAAAAGCATCATCTCTGACTTGGACCTAAGAAATATTAGAGGTGTGAAAGGAGTGTACAGTCAGACCTTTCCTGCAAAAAGCTTCAAGCTTGTTTTCCTTTTGTTTATTTTGTAAGACCAAACCCCAGGTCACATTATGTATTTAGAGTGTATTTATCCTTCCTCTAAGAACAGTACTTTTTAGGTAGCCAAAATCAAGGTTCAGGAGAGGGCCATGAGATCACATGCACTCTCCCATCTTGTCATACACCCTGCTGAACTGGCATCGGGAGAGATGAATTTAAAGGGAATGGAGGAGCTCAAAAGGAGTTCATGTATATGACTATTTGGGCCGCTTCCAATCCTAAACCTGAGTTTAAGAATGAAATATTTCAGGCTTCAAAATTGTTTGATACACGGCAGCATCTTACAGCATAACTTATCTAGAGTTTTGGCACAAATGGTTACATTTTGAGAAGAGAATTCAAGAACAGACACATAGGGATCCAACAAGTCATTTGATTAATATTAATGCTAGATTAAGAAGTAAAATCTATGTTGAAGGCTCTCTGAGATCCATGTTCAATTTACAGAGTATATGAAGTAGTCATGACTGACCGTACCTCACTCCCAGTGAAGCGGCATCGTGGAAGAACGGGTATTGTATCTTCACTGTATTCAGAGGAAAGATTGCCAAAATGTTGCTTGGCAAGGTCCACTAGTTCTTTATGATTAATATCTAGTAAAGAGAACAAAAGGGAATAACATCAGTACAGTGACTTCCAAGAAAAGACTCAAAAATAAAAAATGTTTTTGTTCTGCAGCTGCAGTAGCACTGTTGCAATTTTAATCTTCAAGTTGTGCTAGGGAATCAGCAGTTCAGCACAGACTTAAATACTACATAACCTTACAGGAAAGTTGACTATGTCCTACCACCAATACAACTTTATTCCTCAAGTCCAACCTATGATATGTCTTTTGGTATTTGCAAACATTTCTGGGCCTCTTTGTACTTAATGAAAGGCCAGTATGACTTAATTTACCTGTGGGAGCGTCATGTAGTGCCAGTTGCTCACAGGCCGCTGCTATGCCTTGCTTGTCATATTATGCCAAGTCAGACCACAGGGGTCACACAACAAGCCATGGCAAGCTGGGTGCCCTGCACCATGTAACAGTCCCTCTAGCTAATTAAGCCATACTGGGTTGATATATCACACAAACCACATCAGTATCCGCTATACTGACTCCATGTTATGTCTGTCTGTCTCGCTTACACACACACACACAACCTCCCCTGCCACATCACTGGGCTACCTGCCAGTGTAGCCATTATCACTTTCATTCTCTATTGCATTAGTAGGAACAGAACTGCAAACATGGCCTAGCTGTAACATGGGTCCCAATCTGTCTTAAATTAAAGCTTTCTTAAATCAAATTTCAAGCATCATCTCTATTTAAGTGTAACTTATGGAAGATGAAACCAATATTCTTTGACCAAGACCAGAGGAATAAAGGAACTAAAAGTGACCTGATGGGAAATTATTTACTCCATGAAGTTTGTCTGGGTGTTTTTAATAGGTTGATCTGCTATCTGCCTATGCCAGCTCTGGCAGGAGCATAGGGCCACTGGTGCACAACTGTATAACCCAGGCTTCCTCAACCTGGTGCCCTCCCGATGTTTTGGACTTTAAGACTCTTTAGCCCAAGACTAAAGTGTTAACAGTCAGGAGTCCTGGGATTTATAGTCTCAAACACTAGGAATGTCCCAAGTTGCAGAAAGCTGCTAAATCAACAGACCCACTCTAAGAAAAAACTGAGCTAATCTGTATTGTTAAAGCACTACCAACCTCCAGCAGCTGCCAAGACCATACGAGGGGCTTTGAAGTGAGTCTCAATGTATTCTGCTAGATCTGCACGAGTCAAACGCCTGAGAACAATATTTAAAAAGGTTTTAATTTGCAGAACAGATGGAGCACGTTGTGTATAATGGTCAGATGATAAAGCAGGCACCTAAAGCGTGTCCTTAATAAGCTTCTGAACTCCTGTAAAAATAAAAAGCCATCCTAGCATATTGTTTAGCCCCTTCTTATGCAGCCATTCTTCCCTGCTGGTCATTAAATACATTAAATAGAAGCTGGTGTGGTAGTAGCTGTCCGACTGAGCTGCAAAACAGTCTCTGGTTTGGATTTCACATCTGTCACAAATTCCTAAGGCAGCCTTAGGAAAGTGACATTCTTGTAGACTCAGAAGCCCTGTATCTGCAATATGACCTTCACTATGACTTCATTTACTAGGCTTATTCCTATTTAAATTGAACTCTAGTCCATAACACTTAGAAGTCATTGCACTACTGTCTAAACGGTGAAAGGCATTCAAGTAATCTCATATTTAGCAGATCAATGACACATCTTCCTTTCTAATAGCTACCTTAAATTAAAGATTACTGAGCTTAGTTCTTGTTAAAAAAAATAATTGGCTCTAAAGAATGTATAACTGCATATAAGATTGTAGTTATGTCTCAGTCACAAGGATTACAAGCATGGAAACTGGCATAGTGGAACTGGACCTGAAAGACATTAGTCTGGATGCCTTATCAGTTACAGACTCAGATAAGCCAATGTTTCTCACCTTCAGTGCTTCAACTGAAATGAAAACACCGGCCAATACATAATAAAGATTGAAAAAAAAAAATAAAGACATCATTCTAAAGCCAAGTTCATCCACTACCGAGCTATTTTATTAGGTACAAATTTCTTCCTGGCGTTTAATTTAAAACCAACATTTTCAATCCTATTCTTGAATCAAAACAATTATTTGTTGCCCCCTTCTTTTCAAATTTCCTTAAAAAACCTGAATGTTATTTAAACAAAGCAGATAAATACATCTGCTTTATTGCCATGAGCCAGAATAGGAGGACCGGTTTGATCTTTTTGAAAATCTATTTCTTTAAAAAATATGGAGTGCCCACTACCCTGTTCTTTCCATGAAAAAGATTTCCTTGGAAGCAGGACAGTAACAACATATGCAAGAAGAGTGTTCACACTGATGTCTTGACAACCTACACAGTCACAGAAAAGGTAAGTGGTTGTTGCTCTTCCATAAGAATACTGGCTTTCTGGCCTTTTCTAGCTTGCTACCCCTAAGGTCCTGATCGCCTACACCACACTCATGTATGCATTGTGCTGTACATCTCAGCCTTCAACCGTTAGAGGCTCTGTAAAATGTCAGCTAATAGCAGAGAGGAAATACTTTCACATGGGCTTCGCAACCAAAAGGCTTCTGCCTGGGATCCTTACTTTATATTTGCTGTTGTTCCTTCAACAGTCTGGCTCAAAGCAGTACCCTGGTAAGCTGTAGAATGAAGGTAATCAAAGACAACAGTGGACAAGCAGGTATCCATTTCTTTCATCTCCTGAAGTATGACACTGCGCTGTTTTTCAATCTGAGAATCTTCTAGGCTGCAGTTCTGTACGACATCAGCCAGAATCTCAATTGCTACAAGAAAAAAGAAAAAATGCATGGCATTTAAATCATCAATACAAATGAACGGACAAGACAATGACATTTCTGAATGATAAAGGAACTTGTACACAAGGCTTCGGTGTAGAGTATTTGTGGCATCACTCCATCAGCGCACAGCTATGCTCCTCATGCTTCTGTATCATCGTAACAAGAACTTGTGCTTCCTCCGTAACTCCTGCCCATCAGCTGCAGTCTTCTCTGTGCGATCTCCATGCTGTATTTCTTCACTGTAATCCTCCTCCACTGTAATCCTGCCATCCTTTCTTCCACCTCATTCCACAGTTCCTTTGCCTTACGTCACAAATATTTCAATATGGACCAGGTCAAGTGTTTACATCATCCTGCTTGCTAGCAAAAGCTTTGAAAGACTAGCATTTAGCAATATAAAAGATTGCAGATGTCAGTTCTTGGATTTCTGCCAGGGAAGTCATGGCACTGAAAAGGACAAAACTTTCAAAAAATATGTAAGTCCTTATTTGTTGGGCTGAAGCATAAAATGAGATTTCTGACAAGGCAGCAACGTTTTACATCTTTTGACAACCAGTAAAAAAATGTTTGGCTACTTTTGACCATCTGAATGCAACTGCTTCTTGACAGCAATACAATAAGCATTTGTACAGCCCTGAGTAAACAGTTTTCTGGAAAATGTAAGACACAGGCAGCCAAGAGCTAATTGTTTAATGTACTGCTCTCAAGGGGAAAATTACTTCCTGTTGGCTGAAATTGCCTTCAACTAAGCCATTACTTCATGTAGAACTAGAATTACAGCCTTCTACAAGCTCTCTTCAACAACCTTAATCCCATGAAGGTAGCTCAACACACATGGAAAAACAACAGCCCCTTTCATGAACCATAAAAAACCCAGCTCAAGGACTCTACCTTTAGGCAAATCTTTTGGTAAAGCTTTCATGAAAAAGGCTGTCTGCTCCCGAGAGGAATAGCTGTTGAGATGTGCACCCATGCTTTCCACCTCTTTTTCCAGTTCAGCACAAGAACGATTCTTTGTGCCCTTAAAAAATGGCAAAGAAATAAGCAAGTAAGTATCTAAATGTTCTGCTTATTGTACTTAAAGTAGTGTTACTTTTAACATAGGCTACAACTCTACATAGATTACAGGTCAGGCTATAAATTTAAATATTTAATTTGCCTAATTGGCCTATTTTTATAACATAGTGTCACAGAGTATTGCACTTTAGAAGCCAATAGACATTTAATAAAAACAGCCTCTCCCAGTATATCTTAATTCTAAACATTCCAAAAGTTCATTCTAACATGGTGAACACCTTCCATTGCAGGAATATGGGTGCAGGAACCGTATTTACCATAGAAATAACATAATGAAAATCATTTTTACATTTGCATACTTTTACCATGAGAAAATGTATTGTGAGAATTAGACTTCAGCACCCTGCAAGAATGGAAGAACCTATAGTCAATATGCTTTTGATAAAATTTTACAGACATGGCAGGCTAGGGAAGAAGTCAATATGGCTAGGTAAGCACTGTTTATGGTCATCAAAATACTGAAGCTGTTCAATAGAGAGGATCCACTCAATAGCACGAATATGTCAAAAAGTCCCTGTCATGAACTTTTATTTTTTTCAAATCTTTTTATTTTCAGAGAGTACAATAAAAAGAAAAAAAAGACTATATAAGAAAAAAAGCCAAGGGTTGTTCTATAACTCCTCATTTAAGCACATTTACAATAAACAAAATACTCTACCATTTTCCCATCCAACCCATTCAATTCTCAGTCATATATTTACCCAACCTATACAGTTAGTTATAGATCATAACAATAATATCCATGACCAAAGCTATCGTAAACATTTGTAAAAATTATATTTAACTATTATTTAAATTGTTCATAGTAAGCCTTCCATCTTTGAGTAAATTCTTTAAGCGGTCTTCTGTTGCCATAATTAGTTAGCTTTGCCATTGTTGCATAATCAGCTTGTCTTTCCAAGCTTATGTCTTTCAACAGTTGGACAGTCTTCAGCTTTCCACTCTGAGGCAATGATCACTCTTGCTGCTGCTATCATATATATTTTTTATCATAACCCTTGGGATAGTCCCTGGGACAATGCTCAGTAACATGCTCTTGGCAACATATGGTAAAATGTCCCATCTATCACTTTGCATTTCCAAAGTTTTCCATCATAGCTCTTGTCCATTTTCTGTACATTTTTCGGGATAATATATCACCAGAAATATATCTTATAATTTTCTCTTACTGCTTGGCATGCAGTAAATTTTATGCCATTTGTCCATAAGACTTCCCACTGGCAGGCCAATATTTCTTCTTGAAGATTCTCTTCAAGCATGTTTTAACTTTTTGAGTCTCAACATCATATTTAAGTTGTTTATAAATGCATCCTAGGAAATGGACTGTTTGATTTTTAATTATAATCTCAAAATGTGTCAAATTTCTTATTAGGCTTTTTCTAGCTTAAATTTCCTTTTTTAAACTTGAGGCTTGCTGATTAAGGAAAAAATGGAATCTTTTTTCATTTTTTTAGTTCTTGCCATAATTCATCCTTGTTGGTCAAGCATGTTTCCATATGTTATAAGATCATTGTTTTGCCTGGAATGTTTTCCACAGTATGCTTCTACTGGGGACATTATAGAAGAAATTGGAGAGCTAATTCTTCTCCTCATGGAGTACCAAATTTTTATTAAACCATCTCTGAATGCATGACTATTATTTGGAGTCAATACTTTTTAATTGATTCTTTGGCCCATAGTTGATTGTGCATTCCTTCCTCTAGATCTGCAATTTCAATTTCACTAATCTTTAATTGAAATTAAAAATCCAATCTGTAATCCATACTAGGCCTGCTGCATAATAGTATAATTTGATGTTTGGTACTGCAATGCCTCCTCTTTTTTTTTATCTTGTAGTACTTTAAATCTAATCTTTGGGGGTTTTTTCCATTCTAAATAAAAACATTCAATTTTATTTGCCAATCTTGTAAAGTTTTTCCCTGTATTGTTAACATCTGAAGCATCAATTTTGGTAATACATTCATTTTTATGATGGAGTTTCTTCCTAGCCATGAAACATTGAATTTAAACCATATCTATAAGTCCTTCTGAATCTTTACCAGGTTGTTCTATAATTATCCTGAAGTAGTGCACCATTATTTTCTGTCACATGTATGGGTAAGTACTTAACCGGATTGGAAGTTATTTCATATCCTAAGATTTTTTTATATTTTCTTTTTCTTGTTTCATTAAAAGCTTCAACATAATTTTCATTTTTCTGCTTATTGATTTTATAACCAGAATAATAGCCAAAGTTTTCAATTTTATCTATTATTTGGTGTATAGATAAATGTGGGCTTAAAATGGTCAGCACTGTATCTCTACAAAACTTCATTTTCTATTTTAAGCCATTTGTGTCTTGGCCCTGTCGCATTTTCTTGGCTAAAGCCCTTGTCACTTTAGAAAGTGAACAATTCACTCCCTAGCAACAGTGATACATACTCTGGTAACTTCCCGCTTGGATTACTTCAACATGCTTTACGTGGGGCTGCCCTTGAAAATGATCCGGATACTGCAACTGGTACAGAATAGAGCTGCCAGGCTGCTGACGGGGACCAGCCGTTATTCTCACATAATGCCAGTCCTCTACCAGCTCCACTGGCTTCCAGTTGAAGTCCAGGCCCAATTCAAGGTGCTAGTTTTGACCTATAAAGCCCTAAACGGCTTGGGATCAGGATACCTGAAGGAACGTCTCCTTCCTTATATGCCCACATGCCCCTTAAGATCTATGGGAGAAGCCCTACTCCGGGAACCCTCTTTAAGACAGGTAAAAAGGCCATCAACTCGGAGTAGGGCCTTCTCTGCTGTGGCGCCCAAAGGAACGCCTGGCGCTAAGTTCATACTTTGTTCGGCACCAGGCCAAAACGTTTTTATTTAAACAGTATTTTGAACATTAATAGTTTTTAAGTTTAGTTGCTCTGTTTGTTTTGCGATTTATTGTTTTGCTCTGTTTTATTATTTATTGCAATTGTTGTTTTGTCTTTTTAAATATTGTAAGCCATCCTGAGATCTTGTATAATAGGGCGGCAGACAAAAGCTTTTAATTAATTAATTAATTCATTCATTCATTCATAGCCACGATGCTCTCGGCTCAACACACACTGAAGTGCACTCCACAACTTCACCAGTTTGTGCCCAGTTCTCATTAAGTCCTCCTAAGGTTTCAGAGCACAGCCATTAGTAGTAACTTGCTACTTGTGTGGTGCTTAGATAACAAAACATATCCAATAGTTTATAAATATAGCACAAAGAGGCACTAATATGCCAGAAAATGAACAGGGTTATTTCTCCTTAAAAATTTCCTTTTCAGTAAATTTCAAGTACAGTGAGGTCTACGCGGGTCTTGCTTGATCTCTTAATTGGAGTTGCTGCCCTGTTTTCACCATGTGGGCCTTCTTGTTGAGAAGAATTGTGCTTCTGCCTCCTATCAAATCAACATTATTCTTAGAAAGCAAGAAGATGTTTGTTACATATATAATATTAATCAGGTAACTAAATCCATTGTAACGTATTACCAGTCTGTGCCTGCTTTATGTGCATAGATACTTGCTGCTTCTAATTTTCAAATGCTAGCAATTGTAGTTAGAAAAAAAATCCAGAGTTCTAATTGCCTAAATTGAATAGGATCTCACTTGCTGATAAATTCTTGTTCATTAATTAGCACAGCAACGTAACAATATCACGATGGGCCAGTTTGCACAACATGGGGGCAAATTGTTAATTAACTCACCCATAATTTGTGGGAGTCTGAGCCACTTCTGGTTTGCATAAACATCACTTATACCCTATTCAAAGATTTTTAGTATTATGTCCAAACTCAGGCACTTTGAGTGGTTTATGGCTTAAGCAATGTGGAGTTTAGGGTTTAAAGAGTTTACTCTTTAAAGGTGTCTCATGATTCAAAAAACTGGATAAGCAGCAGTACAAGTCTACCATATAGTGAAGAAGATAGCTTGCCACCTCACCTTGAACGCCATGTGCTCTACGAAGTTGCCAACACCATTGTTCTTCTCAGTTTCATAGCGGCTTCCTACTCCAATCCACACTCCCACCTGATGAAAGGAAACCAATGATTACATACGTAACTGTCTGGAAAATACCTGGGAATGGAGAACTTTTTCCCATCCAAGCACACATAGGATTATGTTTTAAATATTTGGTCTTTATAGGAAACTGTCCACCATTTTAAAAAAACTGAAGTGAAAGCAAAAGCTTACATGATACTATTACCTTTAAATCCCTATTATTCCTGCTATCTTGGAAGTTCCAGTGAATTTTCTTAATTTGACCAGAGAAAAGCAAACTACAATTATTATTGAGACATGTATTTCTAGTCACTGAATTTATTCAGAGACTGAAAGCATCACTTTGGTTTCATCTAAAAGCAATTCAAGTCATATCCCTCATTTACAAAGTGAACTACTCCTTACAAAGAAGGAAATCTCATTGAATTCACTGATACCTGGGTATAAATATGTTAAAATCATGCTGTAAGATCAAGGAAGTAACTAGTGGTTTCCATGAAGAACTACAGAAGTGTAACATTCTAACAATTTCTTCACTCCTACTGATCTGGTTCATTAGATATTTTGCTTCATGGTTTTAAGAGTTTCCAGAACTTGTTTTAGGGTACACAGCTGCTAGACCCATAACAAAATTACAGAAAGGCGTTCTAGTAAAAATTTATTCAGATTTGGTCCTGACAGGTATAATTTTCACCTTTGCCGCCCTGTGAAGAGTGGCCATTATAATAAACTCTAAAAACAGGGCTGCTCTTCAAGACTATTTGGGGACTAGAATAGGAAAAGACTAGTCAACATTCCAAAAAGGGTGTGCAAAGCACAATGCACTCCAGAACATAAAATGCTTTTAAGGAACATTTCAGAGAGGTTTAAACCCCATATGTTCAAGATAGCACCTTTCTATACCTTACAATAACATCTATGATTGCCTTAGATTAGGCAATCTGAACAGAAAGACCTGGACAGAAAGCAGATCTCCAGTTATTTCGCACTTCAACTCCCTGCATTCACTAGCACTGGCCATGCTGGCAAAAGCTTCTGGGAATTGATGTCCAAGACATCTGGAGGTCTACCTTTGGCTCAACCTAACCCAGGTCAGCAGTTTTCAGACATGTACCTTAGGATAATTGTTTTCACACTGACTTCTCTACTATGCTGATCCAACATATTACAGAAGATTTTGGAGCACACAGTGGCCAGAAGTTCAGGCCTACTGAGTCTCAACATTTCCTTGTCTGAAATGAAAGTAAGCTAGAATACATTCCTGTGTATTAGAAGGGAACCTCCATAATAGTGGGCATCTTTCAGGAAATTTTGTCTGTCATTCTGGCCTTCTCACTGAGGAAATCCAGAAAAACATCTGAGGAACCTCAGGGTCCTTCAGCAGAAAAAGTTATAAAGTCAAGAGGGATACATTGTCAATTGCTGTTTCACAGTTGTGAAATCATTTTGCTGAAGTTTCAGTAAAGGGCAATCATTTGTGGAAGCAATAAGATAATTAATTTCATGCTTATCACTCATTTAATTCTGTATTTATATTTTAGGATTTTTTCCTGTTTTTAAAATATTACACTTTACCTGGAAATCTAAAATATGGCAGGCTATATAGTTCAAACAAAAATAAATCTTTAACTGTATATGGATTCAATATGATATAACAATCTCCAAAAATCTCTCAAAGACTCATATGAAACTTACTGTACAAGTAGGTTGGTTTGACTGCTCAGAAGCAATACGGAAGCCATTGTCTAGAGTGGTGATTTCTGTCTCAGGAATATTATGCAGTACTTGGGCATAGGTTGCAGTACTTCCCCTTCTTGTTAAACTCCATAGGGCTGGCTAAAGAGAGATCTATTTTCAAACCACAGCTAGTACAGTAATCAAATGGCACAAAGACATGCATTGTTAAAAGTCCTGTAACAATACACATTAAGAGACACATTACAGTAACATAGGCTTGTAAAAATGTGATAAATCATTGTGAACAGCATCAAAAAATAATATAAGCATTCAGAAGTTAATCTGCAATACAGGAAGAAATGGGTTTTCAAGCACAATCTGAGGTTTGGGTCATTCAGCCAAAAGATATATGTGAAAGAAGTCAAATACCACTTGAAGAAATTTCCAGAACATATCCTCTTGAAGATAACTACAAGTGTATCACAGACAAATAGAGGATAGCATTTAGGCTCCTCACTTCACTTTAAAGTACTTTAATTAAAATACTTTTGTGGCTATGAGAAAGAGAAAAGGAAGAGCAGAAGCATCTCCAGAAGTTGTATCCAATACTAATATATGTAGCTTAAGTTCTATTAATTTCAATGAGTCTACACTAAGATGGACTAGCACTGGATAAAATTCAAGGAAATGCCCATATCAAATATCTTTCGCAAATTTAATTTGATTCAATTACCTTTGCTACCCATTCTGAGAGTTGCAATTCCAAATTGTCATCTATCAAAATAGCACATTATAATTAAATAAGTAAACAATAATTACTATCACTGATTACCTACTTTTCACACACCTATATCACTGATATTCTAAACATCACTCAAATAGAAAAGCTTAACAAAAGAAGCACTGAAGACCAATGCAATGAGACCTGAAAGTAAACTAAGATGTAAACTAAGCAAATATAATGTGGGGTTTGACACTCAGTGAAAATAATTGCATGACTGCTTATCCACAGATCTGTGTCCTAATTTTTCAACACAGAATATTTTACCACATCCCATAACAACCTATGTGACTGTGGCTGCATTTTTTTCCCGTCTAGATTAATGGTGGAATGTAATACAGGATACACAATTTCCTCCACCATGTTTGTATTCCAGGAAAAGCTGTGGCAGGTAAAAATTTAGCAGGTACATCTATTAAAAGCAAAAACTGCAGCCAAAAATAAGTGGGAACAATATCTAAAACTAATCCAGTAAGAGAGCAAAAATGTATCAGTCTACACTGAAATATTAGGGCTCAGGCACCCACAGATAGACCACAGTGTCCTGGCAACTATGCCCAGACTCATTAATCATTTGTTTTCATTATCCTGTGAATTAGGTATAACAGCACATGGCACATATATTGTAATATACAAACAGAAGAGGTTTATATAATGAAGCAGCTTCTTTTGCCTCGTGTTATACATGCCCATCAGTGATACTGAGAAAACACAACCTGATGTTATCATGGATTTAGCAGAGACATGGGTCCTGTAAAATATAACCTTTGCACATTTCAGGACCCTAGGGTAGTAGGGTGCGGTTGTGGGGATCGTGCTGAAGTATAAGATGTAAGCAATACTTAATTTAACAAACATGTTTGCTATCTGGTATAGACAGACTTCCTGCTTAATCTTAACATGCTCTACGTGGGGCTACCCTTGAAGATGGTCCGGATACTTCAATTGGTTCAAAATAGATCTGCCAGGCTGCTGACGGGGACTGGGCATTATGTCCACATGACTCCAGTTCTCTGTCAGCTTCACTGGCTTCCCATTGAAGTCCGGGCCCAATTCAAGGTGTTGGTGATGACCTATAAAGCCCTAAATGGCTTGGGTCCTGGTTACCTGAAGGAGCGCTTGCATCCATATATGCCCAGCTGCCCCTTGAGATTGGCAGGGGAGGCCCTTCTCCGGGAACCCTCCGTGAAAGAAATTAGGAGGGTGGGTACTCGGAGGAGGGCTTTCTCTGTGGTGGCACCTAAGTTATGGAATGCACTCCCCAGAGAGGTCCGCCTGGTACCGTCGTCATTTGTTTTTTGGCGCCAGGCGAAGACCTTTTTATTCAAGCGGCATTTTAACTGTTAATATTATTGGATTTTATCTGGCCAGGGCGGCTTATTTTATACTGTATTGTTGTATTTTTAATTTAATGTTTATATTTTTGATTTATAATTATTTTAACTTATTGTTGTAAGCCGCCCCGAGGCTTCGGCGAATGGTGCGGCATAAAAATGTTTTAATAAATAAATAAATAATTCGGCGACAGTGTGGAGGGCATGCAGCACTCAGGAAGAAACACTTTGCAGGCGCCCAGAGGCTCATTCATTTCGACCCCTTCGTGACCTGTCCCACCAAAGCACGCCGCATCCAACACGGGAGGTGGGGACGCGCACAGCGGGAGGACAGGAAGCTTGCAGGTGCTGCCCCTACTTGGAGCGCCAGGGCAGCCGCCCCAGGCTCCGCGGGCTGGGCCGGCCCAGGCCAGGCCTGCTCGCCATGACCTTCCGGGCGGCGAAGGCGGCTCGGCTGTTCGCCCCCTTCCCGTGCGTCCGCTCCCTTCTACCAGCCACCCGCCTTCGTCGCCCAGAGACCAGCCAGGCAGCCACTCACCGGCGAGCGAGACCCCCGCAGAAGGGCCCGACCGGCAACACACCCCGCGACCCGGTACACAGAGGACGCCGCCATCTTTCCCCGCAAGCCAAGGCAGCTTGACAGGAGAAAAGAGCGCATGCGCAGGAAGAAGTTGAGGCGCGCATGCGCTCACCGGAGAAAGTGGCTTATTCTGTGCTCTGGGAGGGAGATTTCCCATAGAGATAGGAATGTTAAGTTATGCACAATCTATAATTAAGAGAAAGTATTGAAATCACTGCCATGATTTCTGTAAGGACGTTGCTGCCTGCTTTGTCCTTTCTCTCTATGGGAGAAGGATATACCTTGTAATCCGAGGAGAAATCCCATTCAATCTTAGATCGGATGAGTCCGTACAGTAATCTCAAACGTCTCTTGTTTTATCTCTACAGGACAAAACCCTCTGCCGCGGAAGGCAGAACTTGGGGACAGCGTCGCCCCGCAATTTGAATCCTGTTTATATTAATTTTATTAGCATTTATTCTGTAGATGTAAAACCTGAGAGAGAGAAAGGCATAGAGAATTCTCGGTTTCACGTTAAAACCTATTTTTTAAAAAATCGACTTAAGTGTCGTAGAAATAATGGAGACATGCAGGACTATTCCAAAGTCGTGACTGGGGGTCCGTTTCTGCTTCCAAACAAAAGTAGCAGCGAAAACAGGAGATTTTTTCTTTCTGTAACTCAGCTCTCATTAGGTACAGTGAATGTGTGCGTGTTTAAACAGTGAAAAAATACTCGGGCTTCGATGCAAATTCCAATGCAAATACAATCGATTAGCCACAGATTGCAGCCTGGGGGCGGGGCTGTAGCTGAGAAAGAATAGTGTACTTAGCTCTGCAATTTAGTCCACTATTAATATTAAAAATTAGAAATGGACCCCAAATTAGTTTTAATTTCCAGCCCAAGAACTTCACCAAAAACAGTAATCAGGTCATGGCAAAGGTCAGTCAAGTTGCCTTCTCAGATGGCTTCGAAGCTCATACCCAGTGATCAGTTGCATACAGAAGCCTTGTGCTACATCAGCTTGTTTGCAAATACATCACACACCCAACGTTTACAAAGGAAATTATATTTTTCATACAAAGTAAGACCCAAGTGTGGGGCAGGGGTATGTAATCTTTCGGGGCTGTGAGCCCATCTGACAATTTGAGAACCTGCCCTGGGTACCACCACAACTGGCTAGCATGGGAGAGGCATGGAGATTGTTAAGTACAGTTTGCTGCTGCTTTTGAGATGGTGATGAGGGAATGATGAAGAACTACTGTGCTGTCGAGTTACAGTCATGATACATTCTCGATCAGCCACTTCTCCTCCAGGGGAGGTTAAAAAAGAATAAATCTACAGAAGTGAAAAAATCTGTGTGTCTACCTGTGAAGTCTATGTTTACAGGACTGTGTTTGAGGGGTTTGCCTCCCCAAGCTTTTCCCTAAACATTATTTTTATCCTAGTTTTTGTATTTTTGAAAGTGTTCGATAACCCCCAAGTCTGTTGATACCTCTTTTGCAGCGGCTCTATTTTGTCTACCAGCCTATAAGGAATCACTGGCTAAGTCTGCTGTTAGAAGGAATGCTGATTTCTTTTTCTCTCCAACTTAGGGTACAATTCTATGCATGTTTAGAAAGAAAAATGTCCTATAACTGCCAGCATTCTTTAGCCAGCCATGCTGTCTAAATATCCCCTGGATAGCATCCTTCGCATCTTTATTATTCTCTCCATCCCCATATGTTTGGTACCCACGTCACAAGTGTCAGGAAATCTCAGAATAGCAGGGCCAGGGGAATGTATGTTCAGATTCACACGGAAGACATTGCACTCAGTCTCAGCAGTTTATTGGCAGGACACCCAGGTACCCCCTCTGACAGAGAAAAAACAACAGCACTGTAGGGTAGCCAGTATACCAAACTGAGCTTTCCAGAGCATATAGAGAGTTTTTATAAGTTGTGGGTCATGTACACAATTTCAGGGCAGTGATGAGATTCTGAATGGGTGAGATGGAGAGGACAATGGAGAAGTGCAAAAACATAATATGGAAACATTGAGAAATCATTACAGACATCAGGAAAAATATCATGACACATTGAAGGCTTGAGTAACAAATAAAACAATCAGGTGTTACAGACTTCTAACAGGTTTTGATGTTTGGGTTTTACAATCAGAGATTCAAAGTTCCTTAAGCCAAAGCATGAGCTGGCTAGGTATTTTTAACACTGTAAAGGAAGTGCAGTGCCCTCATGCTTGCAACATTGGGGCTGTTTTATTTTTTCCTGGAGAAGGAAAAACCCTGCAGATGTACAGGGTTGGGGGGGGGGGGTGGAGGGACAGGTGAGGCTCTCCACATTTTAATATATGAAACTTATAACTTTTATTAGGGCAACTCCAAGACAAATCATTTTCTTATGTGATTTCACTTATCTGGGAAATTTTGGAAGTGCCTATTTGAAATAGTCCATAATGCATGCCCTAGTTTCCTTTCACCACCGGCTTGTGCCTGCCTTATAATATCAAGATGTGTTGCAGATATTCTATAATAAGCACAGTATGATTAAAGATGTTTGAGCCTGAAAAGAAGGCAACTGTTATGGTTTTCCCATTGCTTCAGAAGCCAGGATGAGTAATTTCTGAAAAACTGAAACATCAGGCAGAAAAGAGCTTTCACCAAAGTGAAAGGCAGTGACCCTGAGCTTGAGAACAGGCATCTAACACACATGCAGAGGCTATGTTAGAAGCTGTGCCTTTTTAAAGAATGAGGGTCAGAAATGGAAGCTAACTTTCAACCAGAATCAAATGAAAACTCTGGAAAACATCAAGGAACATAAATCTAGTATTAGAGGACAAAATACTTCAGATATAGACCTTCTCCAAATTTCTGCCTCAGTTCTGTTGTATGCTGGCAAACATAATCTGGGAACAGATGTAATCGGAGTTGGACCAGAAGGTAGAAAAAACACAGAGGCCTGAAAAGGAGGGTGCACTTCACTCCCCTTGAAAAGGGCATAATGTATCCCACTGCTCCAGTAATTCCAGGATCCTTCAGGAGAGGGGAGAGGCTCTGCCATTGTATATGTTATCCTGACAGCATGTCGGCCTCTGCGCTTTGTGTTCCAAGGTGCCACTTAACCAAAATCAGCTAAGTGGGAAGAGCACGGAGGTGCACTCCGTCTCCACAATCCTCCTGCTGCACATAGGATGCCATAATTATCCCAGTCTTCTGCAATCAGTGCATTGCATCCTATGAGCGATGCAATGGTTTAGAGTGCTGCAGTAGGACTCAGGAGATCTGAATTCTAGTTCCAACTCAGCCATGAAGCTCACTGGGTGACTTTGAGCCAGTCACAGACTCTCAGCCCAACCTACCTCACAGGGTTGTTGTGGGCATAAGACTGAGAGGAGGAGAATTATGTAGGCCTCTTTGAGTTTCTTGAGAGGTAGAATATAAATATAATAAATAAAACAACACAGTATTGTCCCTACTGAAGCCACAGGAAACAGAGGGGAGTCTCTTGAAATTCTGTTCCTCAGTTTTGCACTGAAATATGTCTCTAACATTCCTTTGTTCAAGAAGAGACACCTTAACATCAGTGGCAGAATGTCCAGGGACATCAAAGTGTTTCCCACTGATTTTTAAATATTGACAATTAGAAGTACCCATCATTCCCCTAAAGAGCTCTTTGCATTATTTTATGAATTTAACCCATTATGGGAAATTAGTTTTGTTTTATGTGTCATGGCAGGATGAAGAAGCAGCACAATCAGGATGCTGGACACGAACTTCACTGCCAGTTTTAAAAAGGAACAGACAAGGAAGCATTCATTTCCACCTAGATACAAGTAAGTCCAGTCTTACTTAGTGACCAAATTGTAGAAATTGTAGAATGAAGCTATCCATGGTATTTTGCAGCATGCATGATGTTGAGAAAGCTGGAACTTTCTCATGAATTCGTCTTGAGGGACTGCTATGTATTGGTTGGGTCTCTTCCATGCCTTTGTCTCATCAATCAAATGCTGTTTTATATTTGGTTCTCCGGGCTTTGTTATAATCCTCTGAGTCAGAAAATTGGGGCCTTGAAAGAGGGAAAGCTCTAAAAACAACACATCAGTCTTCCAAATTAAAACCAAACATGGCTTATTTAACAAAAGCAGGGAGGGGAAGCCACTACAAAGTGGTCAATACTGAATGAAAGTCAGGATTAAATTAAACTGCTATTTACTGGATATTATAGAATAAGTAAGAATAATTTATCATCCTTAACCTCTAGCATTTAACTGAAAAGAAGTTACCTTCTGGCAACTCTCATCCTGAAATCAAAAGGTTGATGGCCAGGATGTGTGCAGATTGTATTTCTTCTCTATTAACATCTCAGCAAACAGTACAACTTTAAATACAGTTATAACTGCATGTGTACAGCCTAGGCTTCAATACTAAACCCATTTACCTGGGAGTAAATCCACTGAACTAAAGAAGAGTTACTTCTGAGTAGACAAGTACTGTGCAGCATTGCACTGAAAATGGCTTTCACAGCCTTTTTTGAGAAGATTAACCTGAAGTATTTACCCAAAGAGTGCCTTATATAAGGAGCCACTAGGCTGCTCAGGTTCCCCTTCCATGGATTTGATGTAGCCATAATGGGGGCATCTGTGCAGGCCAGACATTGAACTGGCAACCCATTTGGAATTTGGAGGGAATTTTAAGAGAGTCGAAAGCAGTAGAAGGGATGCTTCGTATTTCCATTGTTTTGGTCCCACTCTCACCTCTGGTGAATACAGATTTCTTAGGCAGGCATTTGATAAACAAGAATTGCTCCTTTTTGTATACTTTCCAAAGTGAAAGTGGGATGAATAAATATAGTACAAGCAGAGATCCTCTTTTCAATCTGCTCTCCGCTCTTTGAGGCAGGAGGGAGAGTTCTATCTCTGCCTGAAGCTGCCCTTTTAATATTGCACACATGAAAATGAGCAAACGTGCACGCTTGCATTCATCTACTTTCCGATTAAGTGCCATGGCTTGAGCTACCACCACTTCAACCATTACTGAAGGCTCTTCTGCACCTACGTTGCATGGCATTCATTTACATCCAAATACATTAACAGGGTGGAGGGTTGAGTGTGGGTTATCACTGTGTTTAAACACAACAGCTCTAGCAAGACATGGTATGTTGAGAGAGCGAGAGCACATGCCCCCATGGTGCCAATGGCATTTCTTCTTCTTTTGGTCCTCCTGATGGTGGTGGTGGTGATGAATTTTGGGGGGAAAGTGGACAGGTGAAACTTGGCCTACCTATGTGATCTGTATCAGTCCCGCATAGACTTGCATGCTACACATTTACCATGGCACATACTTTAGCCCTTAGCCGAGAGACCATACGTGTTGTTGCTTCAAAAATGTTTAATGTTCACCATAAGTACCTTTAGCTTTCAATTCAATCTAAGAATAGCTTTCTGTAAAACAAAAAACAAGTATTTTTTAAAAATGCAACAACAACAAAGGAATTGGTAGTTTCTGAACTTGTCTAAGCCCTGTCATTGTGTATAAGGCTTGCTATAATGGATGGAACGCTAATGAAAAAGTTGATGCAGACTAATTGGAGGCCAGAAGCAGAAGAATGTCACTTATTGAAATGCAAGAATATACAACCTGATGTTGACAGCCTGCACATCAACTTAGTGCAATTTTCTCCCTGGTGCACTAATTTTCTACAAGCAGGGTGGTTTTACATGGGGAACATTAAACATTCTGACCCCACCGCAGATATAGTTTGATGTGATAGATATACCCTCACATTTTATTACATTGTTTAATGGCTAGACCTCTAATATAATGTGTAGATTGGCTCCAAGTCAAAGACAGTCATGTTTCTCCTATTTGTACTTCTCACCATGGAAACTGATGTGTAAAATCGGGCTGTTATTGTGATCTGCAACTGTGTAATGATAAATTAATTGCATTCTTTGTGTGTGAAATGTTCAGTCTGCGTTCTAAAAATAATGGTATGAGTACCTTTCTATTCTGCCTTAACCATTTGATCAGTTTATTCTTCTGGAAAAAAAGGTTAATGGAGAGCAGATAAAGTGGGTGTTAGGCAGGTGACACAATAAAGAGTTTCGCTTGTGCAGAATTAGAACTTCTAGAAAGTCTGTCTGACTGAAAAATAAATTGGCAATAAATAGTAAAATTGTCAATATATAACATGATAGCTGATTTAAGAGGCTTTTGACTAAATAAAATCTATGTACAGCTTTCTTGACCTTGGAATCACATTTATGCATTCATTGATCACAGTGGATGGAATTTGGCAGCACTTTAGAAATGCAGAATTGTGCTCTGATCAAACAATTGCATGTCTGAAATAGTTCGTAATTATACACGTTGTTATAGTCAAGGACTGCTAAATTTATACCACATGCAGAATGAGCAAAGATGTCTGCCCTGACATTCCCCCACCTAAACCTATTCACAAGCATATGCCATTCTTTCAAATGAAATACTTGGCCAGAAAACCCTTTTTAGATCAGACTTCTATATGTTTGTTGTGTCAATACCTATAGAATTGTACAGAAATAACAATGTACCTCTTTTACAGTATCTCAATGGCAGCCCCATGTTTTGCTTCCAGGGCAGTGTCTCAATAAGCTTTAGCTAGGTCTGCTGAAATTGGACAAGTGTAATGGAAACAAGCATACGAAACTGCCCAGCAGAAGAGGGATAGAATTGGGCTGGACTGGCCCACAGGCCTAGTTGCTGTACTGCTCTGTCCCCACAGCGGCCAAACCACAAGCCTGCCGCGAACGCAGAGGCACTCTCCTTCTCGGGTCCTTCGGCAACTGGCATGCCAAGGCAACTGGTCCTAACGCTGGAGTGCTGCATAGCCATCGTTACTAGTAGCAACTGATCCTGCAACTTCACATGCCGTGAATTTGCTTAGTCCACTTTTGCAACTGTTCAAGTGAGCGTGTTGCATTTGTGACCATCCTAGTTTAATCCATGCACCATGTGAAACAGAATTCCTTTTCCCTTTCCCGAATCTCTTGCCATTGAACTTTGCTGGATGACCTCAGGTCTCCCCTCCACCCACAACATTATACGACTCTATCATGCCCCTACTCTGCCTGCCTTTCTCTGAGCTAAAAGCCCCGACTGTTGTAGCCTGTCCTCACTGGGGAGCTGCTTCAGTGCTCTTGATCATTGGGTTGTCCTTTTCTGCACCTTTTCCAGCTCTACAATAGCTATGTAACCAGATGTGGTAACCAGACTGTACACTGAATTCCAGGTTTGGGTGCACCAGAGGTTTGTATAAAAATTGCATGATATTGGCAGTATTATTTTCCTTTCCTTATTATGCCTAACACAGAGCTTGCCCTTTTCACAGCAGCTGCCTGCTGGGTCAACGTTTTCACTGGGCTTTCCACCAGAACTTCAAGATCTCCAGTTTGGTTAATAATCACCAGCTCTGACCTCAACAGCATATTGGGATTTTTGCCCCGACATACATCACTTTACCTTTGCTTACACTGACTTGCATTTGCCATTTTCATGCCCAGTCTCTCACTCTGGAGAGATCTTTTAGGAGCTCTTTGCGGTTTCTTTTTGTTTTAACCACCTGAAATAATTTGATATTTCCAGCAAGCTTTACCATGTCACTGCTCACCCTGAGCTCCAGATCACTTATGAACAAGCTTAAAAGCACTGATCCTTGTGGGAACCCACTGCTTACATTCCTCTGTCTTGAGAACTGACCTTTTATTCCTAGTCTCTGCTTTCCATTCTTTAACCAGAGTCAGATTATTGGTTTGTCTATTTTAGGGCTATTGATGGTTTTCCAGTGGCCCAAGCACAGATCTTAACCTTTCTCATCACCTTATCCTGATCCTTTCAACTTGGAGTACCTGGGATTGAAACTACCGAAGGCAAAGCATGTAGTCTCCTGTTGGGACACAACCTCTTCCTCGCGATGCAGGTATATATGGGGTTTCCCTATATATAACCCAATATTTTACTTAGGCTTCTTCTGCCATTTCCTTTGGCTGGTGTCCTTCACATTAGGGGTGTGTGTGATTGGTTTTCAGGTGGTTTTCCTCTCAGCTTTTCTATATGTTCCTGTGCATTCTGTTACATAACACAAGGTGGCGCTGTGATACAGAGCAGACTGCAAAAATACTCTCGGCTTCTAGAATAGCAAATGACATTGCCATCAAGGAAAATACCAGACTATCCTCACTGAAGAGGAGGAGGGAGCAAAACTGGTTGGAGAACTTGGGAGAGGCCCCGGAGGATGACAATTTTGTGAAGAGGCCTTCTGGGACCACAAGCACACAACAAATGCCTTGTGCAGAGAAAGCTATGGAGACATTCAACATATGCGCAGCTTTCTTTCTAAGACCTGGCTTTAAAATCCCAGTCCGAGAAGAAAGGACCAGATAGGCTCTAGATGTTCCCATAAGAAAATGCTTATGGTCTGCTGTCTTAAATCAACTGGGCCTTCCAGAGAGTCAGAGGATGCTGTAGACCATGATATGCTTTTCCTAATCAAGCTGTGGGGTTTCATGGACACTCCTTCTCCCAAGAGATGCCAAAGCAATGAATGAGGCACTTCCAGTGCCCGAAAGGAATTCTTGTAGGAGCTCTGGTGCCTTGAAAGTTGTTCACAGGAGGACCAGAAGACACTTTGTCCTCAGACAAGTAGAGTAACAGGTCCTTGAAGATGGCAACATCTTAGTTTCTAAAGAACACTGTCGAGGAAAAGCTATGGCAGCCCCTCAGCTTCTCAAACACTTGGAGTGAGAGTCATTTTCTTCTGTAAAGTCACAATGGTGGAACATCCCAGATCTTTCACTTTTACTATCACCACCAACAAAAGGCAATTCCATCAATCAGTTGAAAAAGGGTGGTTTTTGCTACTCTTTAAGAAATGGAGCAGATAAATCCACTAGTTACAGTTCAATGCTGGACTCAACCTATAAAGGAGGAGGACAAAATATATTGGCATTAATTTCTCCTGAAAGTGCCTCCAATTAATCCTACCTATCTCTTTGGTTTCCCGCTCACCACCCATGGTGTTCATGTCTGTGAGAAGGCTGGGCATTGATTCATCTGAAATCTGTTCACAAATAGCTTTCTGTAACTGAGAGAAAATTCCAGGAATATCAGCCAGGATAGAACTCTGGTACAAATTGGATGGAAATAGGTCTCCTCCTTCACCATATCCTCTTTATATGGATCTCATGCCCAAGTATTTGCTTTAATGCTGGCAGTTTGCTAAAGCATTAATATAGCACTCCTTCTAAGAATGTGATTATCATTTGCTCCACATTATAGATTGTGGAGGCTGGGGTTCAGGTTCAGAAGTAATGGCTTCTCTATTTATTTTTACGGCTTTTATATCCAATTCATTAGCATGGAGCTCCTAAATAATGGAGCGTGCAATAATGGTTAGCTTCCTGCTAACTCTGCCCACCCTGCATCCCCCCAATGGGTGAAGGGCAGTACAGGCAAAGCCGCCCTGTTTGGAGGGGCTCCAGACTGCCAGGTGCCCAGAGAATAAACACTGTTGCCCCAGTCATGGGATGTGGCTATGCCCCTGATGTCCTCTGGAGGGCTGAGTGGGGCCACCTCTGACCCCAACACAAACCTGTTCCTCACCACTGGTCAACTCAGTAAGGGCGCCACCAAACAGCAACTGGACTGGGGACTTCTGGTCTGCACAAACAATATATCAGGCCTATTTTGGTGCAATGGCCTGTGCAAAAGTGCATTTGATCAGGAGGGCAAACCATGTGTTGTCATGGCAGGAGTGAGTCTCCTGAGCACGCAAGATATGGTGCACCCATTACAGGTGAGGAGACTGCACTGCCTCTGAAGGGTGTGGAAGGCCAAATAACATCCAGTGCAGAGAAATCCAGGTGGGATGGAGACACGTTGAGTCCATCCAGGAAGACCAACGGTGGCCCTCAGATCCTGTGGTCTGAAGGAGCATGCCTGGTTCTGAAGCACCAAGGTGCCGGCTCATATACTGTGCATGTGCTTCCAGTCAGTTAAGCAAAAGTGCTGACTTCTTACTGTGTCGGTTTGTAGCAAGCTCTCTCTCCGGCTCTTGGTGACATGGCTAACGGCATCATGCACTGATGCAAAAAGCTGGTGCTTAGTGATGGTTTGGCTGAAGAAGTTGCCTCTTTCCAACTGGGAAATGACTGAAGCTGAAGGCAGAAAAAGGACAAACAGGTACCCAAGGGTGCAGTTTTAAAGATCTGGCCTGCCATGACCATTCTGAATCATCTCCACTATGTCCCACTAGCATCAGTCATGATGGATGCCCAATTCCAGCAATTGTCTGCATTTTCTCTGAACCAAGAAGAAAGGAATTTCCCCTGTTGGATCAGTTTGTCTCCAACAGTGGCCATACTGGTAGCATGATTCAAGCAAGGCATGTTGTAATAGCAAAGGCACAGAAGAGATCCTCTACTACGTTATTTACGGCCAGGCTAGACAGGTTGTAGGAGAGCTGTGATTAAGATCTCCCCAGTGTGTGCATGTCTGCATATTTTTAATTAGCAGCCTCATGTACCTGCTTTGAAGATCAGAAACTGGTGTTCTCAGATTGTGTGTTAAACCCCTACTTCCTTTTCTCTGATCTAAGTTACCTCTAGCTGGTATTAGCTCCCTGGAGGGATGGGGGAAGAGATGTGTTCACTCTTGCTAATCTAATGGCTGTTTTAGGGTGCTGGGTAGATTGATTTAGATCAGGAAAAAGTTAAACACACCCTCAGACTGCATCCATGGTCTCAAAAGCATCCATGTGGAGCTCCTAACTGTTGTTATGATGTGCTATCAAGTCTTCTCTGACCTACAGTAACTCTATGAATGAAAGCCCTTTAAATTGTCCCATCCATGACAGCCCTGCTCAGCTCTTGAAATCTCAAGGCAGTGGCTACCTTTACGGAGTCAATCTAACTCATATTTGGTCCTAATCAATACCCTCCCCTCCCTCCCCCAAAGTGAGAAACTCCTAGTCACAGACCTCCCATCTCACATCTACTATGGCCCTTAAGGATGGCAAAAATATCCCACCTGTGGTCCATAAATGCCCATTATTCAAAACAGGGTATAAAGATAGATGGGATTTTAGCGAGTAATTAGCAATGTGGAGGGACATTTGCCCAGCATCTCCTTAGTATCAGCAAGATCCAAGTCCAAAATTTTGGGCAGCTTTGGCTTCTGCATTATTTACATCTGGGCTTCATTTGGGCCCTGAATGCTTCTAGCTGGGGAGGCTCCTATAATGACCAATCAAAAGGCATTGCACCCACCCATTCAGTCTTTTCCTTCTTAACACTTTTCTTTTTCTTTTCTCTCCTTCGATAGAAAAGAGAAGAAATGGTGGGAAAACACAGGAAGGTTACAAATGGAAGGCAACTTTATCTGGATATTTTGTAAAATTCTGTGTTTGAGGCAGAATGACTGCATAATAAAAGCCTCCATGGGGAAAAGCATCTGAAGCGCTGATTACTTGTGCCCATGACAGTCCCCTTAAAGCATTTCTGTGGCTCAGCAAAATAATGGAATTATCTCAAGTGGAATAAAAGAAACTCAAAGGGCAGGAGGAATTGTCTGGGCATCTGTGATTTTTGACTGAGGGATGAAGAGGCAGCGAGATGAAGTCCACACTCTCTTGCTGAGACCATGCCTTGCTCGCTGTGCCTTAGCTGACCATGCAATCCTAGGCCTCCTTACCATGGCAACCAACAAGTAACACATCCACTTCAATCTCCTTGAAGTCTTTAAATATCTGCCAAGAACAAGCATAAACAGCGGAGGTGAGACGCTTCATAGAAACATCAGGGAAGCTCATATCTGTCCTGCTGAATCCAGCAGTAGGAAAGGTACAAGGAAGTTATTTCTGAAAACTCAGATTATTCCTATTGGTCCCTCTGCCCCAATTAACAGTTTTAGCTGAGTTGCCATGGCTGCTGGCTAAGGGGACAATGCCTGTCTCCAGAAAGCCGGGGGGCAAATATCTTGGTCACATCTGCCCCTTTTGGGTCATGGCATATTAAAATGCCTGTCATGATATGATGGAAGACTTGGAGAACATCTCAAGGCCAAGCAGCCCAGACATTTTTCAGCATGGGAAGAAGGAAGAAACAGCTTGAATAGCCGCCCACCCTGAAGATTTTTGTTATCTTTGGGGGTCAGGAGAAATTTCTTGTATTTTTTCTATATTTTAATAATATATTCTATGTTCATATCTCCTATTTTTCAGCGGAGTGGCTTACTGTGATAGACTGGAGGAGGGAGAGATTCGCAGTCCACCTCTCTTCACAGTTAACAAAAGTTTAATCTCTGCTCTCAGCAGTGGCGGAGTGGCGATAAGCAGAGCGGCAGCCTGGCGGTATCCCTCTTTTCCCCATCTCCACCTGGGCATCTGAAAGCTCTCATTTTCCAGAGCTTCCCCCATGTGACCTGCACTTTGCATCTGATTACACATGAAGCAGCACTTCTCTCTCTTTTGGTACTCCTTACATTTTTCAAAGTCTTTATGCAGACGGTGTCCACAAAGTTGACCGGAGTGAAGTCTAGTATGAGGGAGTGAAAAGGAGGCTTTTCCAGTCCCAGGGTCTTCAAGCTAGGACTGAGATTGTCCTGAGACTGCGGCTGCTGGGTGTCATTTTGGGAGGCCCAGTCTTTCACACTTCCATTGAGCTCAGCCATTGTTGTGCGGTCTGCTGGTTCCTGGGAGACACAAAAGGAACACTTGACTTCTTACCTGTGCCTATTCGCTGATCACAGGGCTTTGCTGGGATGTCTGTTCACAGGCGCTCTCATGGGATATACAGAGAGCTGAAGGTTCTAGAAATAGAGGCTTCCATCTTTTTTCAACTGATAGGAAAAAAATTGACTCTCACATGAAACCACAGACAAGTCTGGGAACTTACAAGGCAATGTCCCAGCAGTGGGAACCTGCAAATCTCCTTAGTAATAGAGGCTGCATAAAGGTATTTCCAGACGAGATGAATGGTAGGAAAACAGGAAATCTGAATTAGTTGTGCGTCTTGTTTTTCTCTTGTTCTGTCATGGCAATGGCTAGTTTTGTCATAACATCTTGGTAGGGGTGTTACTTGGCGTAGGCAGAGTTAGAGATGGCCCAGTCCATTTTGGGGCATGACATAGAAAATCCAAACTGTACTCCATAGCAAAAAATTTAACTTGAAAAAAAAAACAATTGGACTTCTAGTCTGATCTATAGTTGCATGAAATACCCTGGAAGGTTTTTGAAATGTACAGACAGATTAATACCTGTGATTGTGCCTCCATATCTATATCCACAAATGCAAGGTTGTTATTCCCAGAATCACGTGTTCTTTGTACTGCAGAAGCCATTTTCTGTTGCCAAACAAGAAAACAGGATAAAAATCATAATGAAGCCACAACTGTTTCACTGCAAGATTTTAAGGAACTCTTAGAAAAAACTTTCAAGGAAAATAGAAAGACGAAGGAGCAGCAGCACGGGTCGAACACAGGTTGATATGCTACTGTTGGTTTTATGTATATTTTTAATTATTTTTAATTGTTTTGATTATGGATTGCTTGTTTGGATTTCTGTAAGCCATCCTGAGATGCTTTGCATATAGGATGGGGTATAATATTTTTAACAACAACAAGTTCTACAGAAGGCTTTAGATCCTCTGCCCTTCCTCAGAGTAACCTGAAAACAACGTGTCCAATACTGTTTTGAAACACAATGCTGAAGGAGCTTTTCATTTTCCCCACATATGAAATGTAGATGTGTGCTGCAGATGCTGCAGACAGCAGTTTCAACAATAAGCATGTTAGCTGGAGGACTGCAGGGATTGTAAATGGAAAAGGGTGATCTATACCCCTTTTCTTCTTCCCACTTTGATGATTTATGGACTAACCATACACAGGAAGCTTCTTGGAAAACACACTGCTAGTGATTTAGAAGGAAACACGCCAGATAGAAGGAAGCACCTTTGTCTTCTTGACTTCTTTTCTGTTTTTCTTTTCCCACTTCCTTTGGGCTTTCTTCTTCTTCTCAATGAGACGGTCCACATCAATGCCACACTGCAAAAAAAGGCAGATACTTATGTAACAGCCACTCCTGGCTTTAGAGAGCCACTGTGATGTCGCCTGCCCACCTGCTCGCTTGCTTCCCTTGCGCAGGATACTGAATGATGCCAAGAGCCATGGCCCATGGACGTCTTTCATTTTTCGCCTTGGTTGGACTTCTTGAATAGAAAATGCTTCGTGCTTACATTTTGGGAAGAAATGCAGTTCAGAGTAAAATGAAAAGCATGGCCCTGCACCAGGAGCACCAGACTAAGACTCAGAGCAGGGCTGGCAAGTGATAGTTTGTAGAGAGAGATGAAAGACTAGCTGGCACTCGCACACCCGTACTCTGAAGCCAGGGGGGACCGCCAGTCGAACCGTACTCTGACACTGGTGGTGGGACAGTGTCTTCCCCCATCCCTGAGGGTTGGCAGGCAAGCTCAGAGGATGCAGGCCAGGCTGTCCAGAACGCACGGTTCCGTCCTCCCCCTGGGGGACAGTCAAGCGGCTGCCACCACTCCCCCTCCATGCTAACCAACATCTGTAAGTGGAAGTGACTGCCTCCACCTGCCACAGTGTGGGGCCAGCCATGGTTCTGGATATTTCGGGACACTCTGTCACTCTCCCAGTGGTAGGAAGGACCGAGACCGGGGAATTGTTGCAGGGGAGAATTGTTGCTGGCTCCCTCCCTGAGCACTGCTGCTTGAGACCAAATCAAGAGCCTTTCTCTTCCACGTAGCAACTTGAAAATATTTTTAAAATGTGTCATATGCAGTATTTGCCCCCTTTCCTTTAAAATGTGCAATAATTCAGTCCTTCCATACCAAGGTTGAATGGTGGGGAGTGACTGTACTCTGGACACGTCCACTGTATCGCACCTAGACCACATGAGTTGAAAAGTGCTTGGGGAGGGAAGCTGGGGCCTCCCAGAATTTTTGGCATATAACTCTGATCTGCCCCAGCCGGTAAAACCCGTGGTCGGGAACGATGGAAGCTGTACTCCAAAACATCTGAAAGGTGCCCAGTTGCCTGTGACTGATTTGATTCATTCCAAGTGGAATGTCACCCAAGGCCATTCGATGGCTATATGCTGGTCTTGGAAATGGTGCCGTGAGAAATTCTCTTCTGAATGTTCCTCACCTTCTTCTTTAGGGTCTCCGCATACAGATCAGCATTGGCAAAATAGACTGTCGCAGAGGAGCGGAAAATCTTCACACCGGGGACCTCCTCCGCCTGGGAACAGAGCAGAGTGGGGGGTTCATGTGGCATGAGCAGGGGACCCAGCGGCGCTCACGGGGTGGTCGGGGGCAAGCTCCCATCTCTCAGCTTGGCGCCGTCAAAATGGAGTTGCAAGCATCGCATGGGACCACCCCTCGCTTGATGCTGCGAGCTCCTTGAAGGGAGGGTGGGGCACAACTGCATAAAGCAAAGACGGGAATGAGCAGAATGCCTGCATGGGTGCAGTATTTTTGTGGCAAGATGTCGCGCTCCCAAGAGAAAGCCCGATGGACTTGAACATCACAGGTGAGAGGCTGCTCCAAGTGATGTCCAGAAGAAAGCCTGAGAGGAGGACCAGCTTCGGCTCTTGGGGCTGGCTCATTCCAGCCCTGCACTTGGCCTGCCCTGGGTCTCGGTTGGAAAGAGAGCACATGCACAGTTCTGCAAGGCACGTGTATGATTTTCTGCAGGGCTTCTCCGAGCACCCGTTGCCCCTCCACAGCCACCTCCTGGCACACTCACCTTGAGATACTTATCCACGTCTCTGTAAATGCCTGTTGTGGACACTTGTCCCAAAATAGAATAATGGGGCCTTAGAGAAGATGAGGGAAAGAAGGGGTTACTAAAGGCTCGAGTGAGCAACTTATTCACCATACCGGCTACTAGGAATGTCATGCTGAAGGACGGCGTGACATTCAGTTGCACATGGGGACGTGTTTGCTGAACCTCCCATATCCCAGGCTTCCACCCGATGCCTGAATGAGGCTCCTCTCTGACATTTCCTCTGGGTTGTCCACAAGACATTACCGCCCTGCTCTGTTCAATGCACCCCTCCTCCTACTGGACGCTCTTTTAATCAGCAAAAGGCAACTCTTGAGTCGCCTCCCTTTTGCTTCCCTCCATAGCAACGCGATACTCACATCTGCGTCCGGAAGATGACAGTGAGCAGTGCAAAGACCACAGCGACACCCAGTCCCAGGTCAAGGTTCAGCAGAATGGTGGCCACAAAAGTCACGAGCCAGATGCACTGGAGGCGAGGGTGGGGAGGAGAGAGCAGCAGTGAGAAGCGCTGAGCAAGCGTCCCCATCCGTTCTGCAGTGGATTTCCGTGGAACCCCCTGAATTGGCCTGGGATGACCCTCTGTTGCGCCCACCCATTGTGCCAACCGACAGACTCCTGCCTCAGAAGCACAGCACAAAGCAGCCTTCCTTAACCCGGTGACCTCCAGACTGCAACTCCTATCATCCCTGACCATAAGTTATACTGGCTGGGTCTGATTAGAGTTCTTGTCCAGAACTTCTGGAAGGTTCCGGGTTGGGGAAGGACGGCTTAAGGAATGGAGCTGTAGCTTGCGCTCTGGCCCTCGTGCCACCGAGTGTGTCTCTCCTCACCTGCTGCAGCATTATTCCTTTATTTTATTTATACCCTGCCGCTTTACTGAAGTACAAAGTGGCCTACACAGAAAAATGGGCACAAAGCAAGAGATTACAAAATGCAGTCTAAAAACTAAAATGGAGCTCAAACGATAGCTCAAGCAAGCACTTGAACACGGGGTAATCATGATCTTCCAGGATGGTAAGAAATACACTTAATCAGTGATGCAGTGGCAAATTTGAAAGTGTGGGCATCCATCACGAGAGCCCATCACAAAGGACACTCCAAAAATCCAGACTGCTGAGTTGATCAATATTATCAAACCAGTTATAGCTACTTGCATCTCCACCAGGAGCAGGACTTGTGAAGTAAATGGGTCTTCATTGCCCATTCAAAATCAAACCACCCCAAGATACTTCACATTGCAACAGGAAACAATAGATCTTTGCTGGGAAAATTAATGCCCTTATCCCCAGCAACTCTGAGGATTACAGCTAAGCTCAGAAGAAACAGAATTCCAACAGGGGTGGCAGGTGACCTCGGAATCCATGAGGATAAATCAGTCCTGGTGCCTCTTCCTCGAGAGCCCTGGTTCCACTACACCACTGCACTTCACCCATCTTGCTCTACGATGCCCCGGGCGCACTGTCCATGTGTGGATTCGTAGGAGGGTTTGGGGCTGTGGCAGTGCAGACGGGGTTTTCTGCAGTGTGTAGGGAAGGCTGGGACAAACACAGAGGCCTCCGAGCTGTGGCTCTCATCGTTCGATCCCCTTGGCATGTGCTGGGAAGGCAGACCAATCAGACATCACAATTACAATGCCAGACACCTGCAGATGTCTGGAAAACGTTAATTAATACAAATGATTTAGCAACAAGAACTGAAGAGACCATATAATTGAATTCCTCCTCTTTTTCTTTTTAAAATAAACCTCCTTACATGTATAGAACTACCATACGTGAGGCAGAGGTTTTAGCACAGCCTTTCCCCTAAGTGTTCTGTATGTGTGGAATCTCCCTGCACAGCTTGGGAACAACATTCAAACATGCAGTCAGGACCTGCCAGCCTAAAAGGTTGGAAGGGGCACGAACAATACGGGGCCAGCTCATCTGGTTTGCAGGCATTCTACATACAACATTATATATATTTTAAGTACTTGTATAAAAAATGGAGCAGAAAAAAATATGCGGCAACACCCCCCCCAATCCCTGGCTAAAGGCCCACATAGAATCCTGCTAATTGTTTAGTTAGAGAAAAATATTTTGATTTCACTGAAATATTTTTTTCCAGAAGTTAGCTCAAGCTCTGGCTTGCTCTTCTGGTGTCCGTGTACTTTGCTTGATGTGCGGGCCCTGAGCCAGACCACAGGAGCCCAGGAACGGAATAAACTTCCCATGGCTCCACTGTGCCAGTCCTTTTCGTCTCCATACCAGATCGTTAATGTTGGATCTCCAAAGTGCAGGAATGTCGTTAAACTGCTTGAACATGCCCTTCAGGTTGACTATGATGATAGCTGCTAAGATGGCCTGCCAAAGAAACAGCAAAGATAGAATACGAAGAGTCAGAGAACAGGCAAGTCTGAGTGCCAACACACCTATCATGGAAAGGAACAGAAGGAAGAACTGGAGCTGACTATACTGAAACATTACTTTTCAATATAAACACTTAGATTTGGAAGGAAGACCTTTGATCTAGTAGCCATGAAGCCCAGAAGAGAGGCGTGGCCATTGACACTGTAGTTAAGGGCATTTTCTCCACGATCACATATGCTTTAAACACTATTTTTGCTTTTTCACATGCTAGGTACAGATGCCACTCGTATGCACGCATGCACACATGTATATGCCTAAATCACCAGAAATAGTAAGTAAGTCCACTAATAAGGAATTAATCAGTCCTGTGCATGCTTATTCAGAAGACCATCCCCCCGAGTTTGAAGGCACTTGCTCTCCAGTGAATATGTTGAGGGTCGCGACCAAAGGCAGGAAGTGGCAGGATTTTAAACATACTTTGGGTAGTTCTCGGAAAAGCTCCCCAATCTTCAGGATGGTTACCAGAATGACAAGACACGAGACAACTCCAGCCACCTGTGGAGAAGGAAACAGAAGAACTTGAGCGATTGTGGGTTGGCCCATCCCCCAAAGCCCACCTTTTCTCCCTTTTTTCTCTTGTGAGTGTGATGGCTTTGAGGTACATGTCACTCTGATTTCTTTCCCTCCTTTTGCTCCCAGGGCGAGTACTCATTTTTCTGTGAGTGGAAAGCCAACCAGTCCTAAGCAGTGCAGGTATTTCTGCCCTGTGATTTGGGAAAATAAAGTTCAAACTATGCATGTATTACGAGACTCCAGGGCAGACTGCTATGCAACAGAACAGCCAGAGGTTTCCATCTGATGCATGCAAAGATTAACACTGGAAGAGCGTTTCCCTCTCTACAGGTCTTTAAAGTCTAACTACAGTACTATACAAATCACAATTATCACATTTATTCTGGCATGCATTTCAATGAGCTCTAAAGCAGTGCTTTGCAACTCTACTTTGATGCTCATCTGTTTGATTTATTAGCTCTGATATCTGCTCCTACCCCAAAAAAGCCACAAATGTATTCCGGACGTACCTGACTGTGCCCTCCTGAGCTCTCCTGCACAAGAGAGCGGGACATGGAGCAGCTGATGCTGTAACACTGGAAAAAGCCGCCCACAGAGTTACTGAGCCCCAGGGCTATCAGCTCCTGCAAAAGATTCACCATCGAAAAGGGCTGAGTCTCCCTAAGCCAGAGGCCTGAGTCCTTGTTTGGACTGTGAGAAGGTGGCCCCCATTACCCACGCACTGATTTCTTGGGACCAGGTTGCTGCAATGTGCTTTTTCACCTAATTCACCTTAGGAACTGATGAAAGGGAAGCCTTAAAGTCCTAGTGACCTGAACTTTATAACAGTGAAGCAGAGAACAGAGACTGTAAACTTGGCTTTTGCGTGCATGCTTGTAACCTGGACTCTTGAGAGAGGAGACATGTTTCTACTATTATGAAAGGTTCCCGTTAGTGGCAAGGTTTGCTTATAAAAACAACATAGAGTTGGAAAATGACTGCGTGCTTAGTTATGCTTTGAGTCATGTATACATTTCTGGCAGGCTGTCAGTGGGCACAGTGTCTTGAGATCTGCTCTCTTGCATAGTGTCACCCACAGGTGTTTCCATCGTGCTCTTCTAATAAAACCATTGCTTTTCTTTAACTTTCAGTCTACCTGTTTGCTTACCTAGGCTCTATCATCTGCGTTGACTGTCAAAGCCGCGAACAGCTTGGAACCAGAGTATCCAGAAGCACGTCTCCCCTGCCTCCAACCCTTCCGTCACCTTTAGAGACCCTCCTTTGGGTGTCCCACCAAAGGAAGCTCAGCAGGTGTATGAGAGTTTTCTCTGCAGAGGCACAATATTCGTGGGGTTCACACCCCCCAGAAGTTTTCCTGGCTTCTACATTTTTGTCTCTTCGATGCCAAAGACTTTTCAATTCTCCCAGACATTTTAGAGACCTGAGTTTTGGTTATTGTGACTGTTCTGTCAGCCCCTGTGCTGTTTATTGTTTTGCACTATACTGTAGTTTATTCTTTAAAATCTTTGCACAGTGTTCCATATTTTAACTGCTCTATGGCATTTTCATTCTTTAACTGTATGGAAGCTGCCCAGAGAATGTTGATTATTAGGCAAGTAAGAAATGTCATTAATAAATGCATGGATGGATGTTGTGCTGCCTGTGAAAACATTTTGGGCATTTCAGGTAGTACAAATAGTACCTGCATGTGTGCTGGCTCAGGTGGGTAGGTGAGCACATATGGAACCCATAGTAAAACAATCGCACCAACTCTCAGTTCACTTCCATATGCAGTTCAAAGCTCTGGTTCTAACCCATATGGACACAGCCCTATGCATCTTAGACAGAAAAATGTCCATATTTCTGGAACAGATGCTGGGAGCCGTAGGACTTTTTTTGCTTTAAAATGCACTGGGTTGCTGCTTGATGTTTTGACCCCAATTACCCAAGGCAGTAATCTGTGCTAAGATCAGGTGAGGATAACCTGCTAAGAAGAAGAACTACTATCTTCCTGAAGGTTTATCTTTATCAAGTAAACATGGTGAAGGCCTTTCAAAGGCAGTTTGATTGCTGGTCTTTTTACTGCTCCGCTTTTTTAAAGTTGTTTAAAACAATTTCTAAATTATATTTGTCCATATTTGATTTGTAAGCCACCCTACAAATTCCAGTAAATTGAAGGCTGAGGTATAAAATAAAATAATGAGTAAATCAATAAATACCCACTTTGAAGGGCTTGGTGCTCTCAGAGATTAACAAGTGCAATTGTGCATGCTCCCAGAAAGAAAGAAAGAAAGAAAGAAAGAAAGAAAGAAAGAAAGAAAGAAAGAAAGAAAGACTCTTATTAAATAATAAGCACTCAAATATTAAACTACAAATCAAAACACACAATGCAAATGAGAGAGAGAGAGAGGATGACGAAGAAGAAAGAAACTGCAGCTGTATGGCAATAAACACCAATAAATGAATCCACTATCAGAAAATCAATAATGCTATCATGCAATGAGGTGGAACACTCCGTCCATAATAAATAGCAAGTGATAAAGGCAGCAATGTAGTAAAATAAACCTTGGAGTGTAAGACATAAGTCCAAGAGTGCCCAGAGTTCCGATCATTCAAAGGCACACTCACTTTGCTGGTTGAACGTCTGTTATGCTGACTCAGCAGAGTCTCCTGACGAATTTGGTTCAACTTATTAGCTTATGCCTGAGCTTCTGATAATCACAGCGCAGACCAAAGTACAAGCTATGCCACGTACAGGGTAGCGTCTGGATGCAAGAATTCCTCCGTGCGACATTATTAACGGTGACCCATTATAACAGGGCTGGCCGAGCTGAAGGCCCTTTGCGGCCCTCTTGGTGACCTACTGGCTTGGGGGGCAGACCCACCTTCCCCAGAAGCCTGGCTGGAGAGCCTTGTTCCAGCCCTGTTACAGCGATCCCAGGCGGGGCTGCTGGGGCAGCAAAGAGCCCTTTGCTTCCTCCAGCTCGGTGATTCCAGCGCAGCCAGGATAACTCTTCCCCCACGGCTCAGGGGGCAAGGGAAGCAGTGATCCTGATCAGAGGAGGGCTGGTGGTGAAGCATGACCATTGGTGGCACCAGGAGCCCTCCACTGGGAAGCATCCCTTGTGCCGTGGGACAAAGAAATCAGCAACAATTGTGGGAAGGCAGAGCAATGGAGAAGACCAGGCAAAAGCAAGAGAGAAGAAAGAGAGGGGAATCCTGCTGGCACCAACATGGCTAGGAAGGTCCGCCCTTACCTGGTTGCTGTCCACCTTGTAACCGTGCTTGAGGGCAAAGATCTTGCCGAGTGAGATGCCGATGACGTAGCTGACGATAGCAATGGCAAAAGCATTTCCCACCACCTTCCCAAAATGGCTGGCCCCGGGGACCTGAGGAGGCCTCATCCTACCAGGAGACAATGCTGTGGTTATGTTGTGCTGGTCTAATGGCAACCCAGGGAAGGGGTAGAGGGGGAAGGTCCAGTTCCCCAAGCCATTCTTTCTGCCTTGGGGAATGGGGGAAGGGCTTTGGGGCAGCAGGAAAAGGGGCTGCAGTCCATTCCCTTGGACAAAGTGGGGATGAGGCTCCCCCCACCCCCAGTCTTGAAACAAACTGGCTTGGCAAATTATATCCCTTGCAGAGGCATATGGGAAGCCACACGAGGCACTCACCCACTGGGGATGTCCCCCACAACGCTAATTCCAAAGTGCTGGTTCAGCTTGGCCCCATACGAAATCCCCGTGGAGACGATAATCTGGAAAGAGGCGGCAGGGTGAGGCCAGACATCTCCCTTGCAGGAGGCAGCGATCACCGCTACCCATTTAGCCAGTGGAGACGAGCGGAAAGGATGGGAATTCGCCAGGCCGGCCAGAAGTAGGAAGGGTGGCACAGCAGGGCACAGGGCGGCAGGCCGGAGCCTCACGGACATCGCCTCAGAGCGGGGGACTACAAAAAGCTCTGCCTCTGCCATCTAGCGCAGGGAATACCGGGGGCCCCCTGTGAAGCAGGCCCTGGCCTGCCTTTGGAGCTGCAGAAGGGGGCAGGCCGAACAAATGCTCCCCTGTGTGCGCAGGATCATGGCTGTGTAGCATCCTGGACCAGCAGGCTGGAGCAGGCAGCCTGTCTTCACTTTCCAGGGTGCAGGCCTAATTGGCAACTGCTGCAATAGGATGAGCCTTCCCAGACTCTGGGAGAGATGAAAGGAATTTAGTCCCCCACACAACCGACACAGGAGGGAACCCCATCTCCGACCTAGTACCTCCAGATGTGCTGGTCCACAACCCTTATCAGCCAAAGTCAGGGCTGTCTGGGGATGATGAGAGTTGAGGGCCCACACATCTGGAGGGCACCAGGTGCACGAAGGAGGCAGAACAAAGAAGGAGAAGCCCTTCTGAAAAGCCAAGGCCAGCAGTGCCGCTTCCTGCTTTGCCGTCCTATGTCACCTTCCCATGCACCTGCCCAGGAATGCCGTTCTTCGGGTCCCTCCCTGGAAATACAGCCAACGAGTGAGTGCTTCGCGGAGTGCCTTTCCCACTGTGGCCCCCGAGGCCTAGAGCCCCCGCCCAGGAGAGAGGCATCCGGTCCCACTGCCGCTCCCTCAGCTCTGCTTTTACCGGGCTTCTTGGATACAATTCTTCATCAGGGCTGCTGTGTCGCCGCTCTTGCAATGGCCACTGCTGTCACTTTGATTGTTCCCACTGTATTTTGGTGTAAGTCACCTGATTACTTTGCTGGAAGGTAGGATAGCAATCCTGAGGCTACATCGAAGAAATTACCGTGAGCAGCTCGATGGGAATAGGTATTGGAAGCTTCTTGCCAATTTTCTGATTGAGCAGCTTCACGGGAAAAATGGAAACCATGGCGACTAAGGACGTAACCAAAGCGCCTACGTTGGTCCCTGGCAGTTTTGAGCAAATCTCCAGAAAGGTCTGCAAACAAAGAACAAGGCAAAGGATATAACAACTGTGGGTCACAGAGTGGAGGCAGCACAACAACATCCAGCCTGGCCGAGGCCCAGGAGGAAGGCCGTGTCCCCTCTTTATGGGGGCTTGTCAGAAGAACCCTCAGCTGATCAGGGCCTGCAGCTCAAGGCGATTTCTGACTCCAAGGACGACAGGAGGTGCAGCACTGAAGCACTGCTTTGGTATGAGTCCCCAGGATCCTGCGAAACATCTGCCCCTTTCCACCTGGACACGTCTCCAGCCAGAGGCAAACCAAATTGGCCAGAGAGTTAAAATCTCTGGCACCATCACAAAAGTCCTCCTTCCCTCCTTCTGGCTCTCTTTCAAGGATCCAGGGCTGATCTGCATCTGCGTAAATAACGTAATGTGTGGCATTCTAGACACGGCTCCCCACACAGCAGAATGAGGAAATGAGTTGGTAGCATTGTTGATCAAAACAACAACAACAACAAGGTCCTTGCAAGGAGAAAATTTGCAGAACAGAGAGAAAAGTTCTAGTTCAGCCCATGTGGGTTCCTTGAAAGAAGAAGAAGGCAGGATGTGTGTAATCATTTTACAAGTGCACTGATTTTCTGCTTGCGAGGATCCATCTATGTATATAAAGAATAAAGATACATTCAGCAAAGCAAATGTTTTTTTAGACCATGGCATGTGAGAGGGGAAATTAAACTTTCTATCTCCAACCCCCACAGTTTCACAGCTGTTTGCCCCCCACCCCACACATACGCACTGCTTCCCCGCCCTGGCTGCCACCCGCTCTCCCTCTAGTCTGGGTGTACTCACATAGATCAGCGATAACGGCCCTGAATGTTCTTCCAGTTGAATCCCAAAGACGTACTTCAGCTGCGAGATCAGCACCTGGACAGCAGCAGCTGTCGTATAGCCCCGCACCAAGGGTTCAGAAAGGTAGCTGACAACAAAGCCAAACTGCAGCAGGCCCAGGGCGATCTAAAAAGAAAGAAGAGGGACACATGTAAGACAACACTCTTCTCTCCAAGGGCTTCTGATCTGGGACATGGGGGATTCCAAAAATGCACTGTAGCAGGAATGCGGCTTGCCAGAGGCCAAAGACCTGGCATGGAGCATGTGCTGAGCCAGTTCTGTCCCTTTGAGACAGTGGTTCAACCCAATCATGTGGACACCTAAAGAGGATCGCAAGAGGAAGACCCTAAGGTCAAAGCGATCCTGTCAACAGGAACAGTGGACTTGAGGGCCATGGTCAGAACGGTGATCAGGCTGCGTCTTCTGTCCTGACACAACCCATCAGTTCCCATCAGTCTTTAGGAAGGGATTTCAGGACTGTAGCCTTGTGGGAAAGTTCTACCAGAATTGGTCATCTTCATATCCACTCCCAGGCGCAAGACTCGTTCTACATCAGTACAGCCCTTTCACTTGTGGCCCCAGGGAGCAAACCCAGTGTTCCCCATCACCTGGGCCTGACTGCCTTTTTCACATATTGCGAAGTGAGGCAGCATCCAGAGACAGCTCCACTCACCTGAAAGATGCCCACCAATAAGGTGAGCGCAGACACCAGCTCCACTCTGGCTGCATCCCTTTGGGCCTCGTTGAGGACCGTCTCGTTGGTACCATTGACCTTTTCCATATATTTTGAGCCTGGTTCCAGAGAATCTGTCACACTCCCAATCATCACAGAGATGACAGCAAACGGGCCTGTGGAAAGACAACAGGAGTTCGTTGGGCAAGACAGCGGTTCTCAAGGCTTGAGGCCCTGTCCCTCCTTGTATTTCTAGGAGAACCAGGTTTTTTGTTGTGGGGGGGCAGGGGCAGGTTGGATTGCAGGATGCCACTGGATTTTATCCTTTTGCATCAGACTGTCAGGCATGGGCTGGAGGGACTGCACAGGACAAAAAAGCATCAAGCTTTTGGCCGTGTTTACAGTGGAGTGAGGTGATCCCAGCTCCCTACCTTAAAAGGAATTTTGGGAAAGAGGATTTACTTCCTTAGATTGCACTAATTCCTGGCTCATGCGAACTGATGTGTGTTGTAAAACATGTCAAGAGCTTCTTAACTCACCTTAAATGAATAAGAGAGCATTATCTCTGGGACTGTGTGCCATGCCAAGGGTGGAAGGGCCACGTCTCCTTTTGGATAAGGCACTGGGGACTGCATAGTGACAGTTGACAGGGCTAAGGCGAAAAGCGAGTGGGTCACCCTTTTCTCTTTGTATCCCCCCCTTCCTTCCCAGCAGGATGATGGGAGGGCAAACCACACTTGCCACGGGGCTGAACTGATGGCCCGCTGAGGGTTGCTTGTGGTCCTTGGGCCACAGATCGCCCACAAGGCCAGACTGCGTGGTCCCATGGGCCCGGTGCTCAGGACCCACTGCTCACCCACAGAGATGTGCCTGGAGGTCCCAAAGAAGAAGTACATCAGGACAGGATAGAAGGCTGAATACAAGCCAATGACGGGAGGCAGCCCGGCCAGCAGCGCGTAGGCCAAACCTAAGCAGAACGGAAGCAGACGTCACCACCAGCCTCCCCTTTGCCTAGAGCAGAGGTGCCGCTCCAGCTCAGGCCTTCCCCTCCTCATTCTTTGAGCCCAGCTAAGCCAACTCCGACCAAGCGGACAGCCTGCATGGCCTCCCGCTGGTCCACAGACTGGCCAGCGTTCCTCAAATGTTCCACAAGGAGCACCAGGGCCTCGCTGTCTGAGCACCCCCTCCCCACTTTGAGCGTGCCAGCATTTCAGCCAAGCCGTGCCCCCTCCCCGCCCCACACATGACTGAGGCCACACGTCTCAAGAGTAGTTCATCTCAAATCAGAGGCAGGTGTCCCTTAGGTGCCTGTGCCCGCCCCTTCTTCAGCACACAGGGACTTCAGGAAGCGGCAGCTGGTCCATCCTCCCCTCACAGAGACCATCGCAAACAAAGGCCTTGTGAGCAGGAGAGTGAATGGGCACCATCGCCATCTCTTCAAGCGGTACAATCGCACCTATTACTGCTACCGCTGCTACTACATTTATGTCCTGCCTTTCTTCCTCTTGCAAGGAACCCCAAGATGGCTTGTAACCACCTCCTTCTCTCCATGTTAACTTCAAAACGGACCTCATTCGAAGTGCTGACTTTAACAAGCAATGCCCTAAATGACTGGGGATCAGGTTATCTGAGGGAACACCTGTCTCGATGTCCTCCCCCCCCCCCCCCGTCACTGGGGTCTTCATTGGAGGCCCTTCTGCATGTTCCTCCTGCTAAAGAAGCAAGGCGGGGGGTGATTAGAAGGTGGGTCTTCTCTGGGGTGGCACCCTACCTTTGGAATTCACTTCCCATTGACATTTGCCAGGTGACATCTCTTTTCGTTGCCAATTCAAACCATTCTTATTCTGGAGTTATTCTGGTGACTAATTTGGTATTATTTAATAACAGTTCTTGATTTTGCTGTTGCCTTTGTGAATTGAACAACCAGATCACTTTTATAAATTGATCTTTTAAAATTATTTTATTATTGTTTATAATTCTGTTGTCTGGTTTTATTTCATTGTTCTAACTTAAATTATATTTTAACTAATTCTATTGTTGTCCCTTTGATTGCAAGCTGCCCAGAGAGCCATTTTGGCTAAGGGTGCTGCATATAAATTCAATAAGTAAGTAAAGGCCCTGTGAGGTAGGTGAGGCTGAGAGCAAGTGTTGGGCCCAAAGGCACCTCGTACGCTTCATGGCCAAGTAAGGAGCGCAGCCCAGACCTCCTGAGCCCCAGTCCAGCATCCTGCCACTGCCCCACACCTTCCCCTGTTTGAATTGAACTTGTAAGCCTGAGGGCAGGGACTGTCAGACTACTCATCTGGTTGCTCTTTAGGAGCCTTTGGACTGAAAGGTGGAGAGTTGGGGAGCCATCCCTGGCCCTCTCCTCTTTCCCAGCTGGCACAGAGAGAATCACACCATCTCTCTCTCTCTCTGTCTCTCTTTCTGAGGCTGGAAAATCAACCTTAGAGATGGGGAAAGGGGGGTTTTCTGGTAGGTAAGCAAGACAGGTCAGGACATGCGTTATCCTCCAGCCTTCCTCTCCAAAGCAGACTTGCTAGGCAGCTTAAAAATCTGTCCACTGAAAATGAAGGAGACTGGAGTAACTGGGAGACAAAGAGTGCCTCCACCACACCTCCCACCCTCCCAGCTTCCACTTGGCAAGGCACAGGAATCTCAGAAGCCTCCAGGTTTGGGAGCTTGGAGCGGAGGAAATGTGCCTCCAGCAACCAGGAAACTCTCCTCCTACATTGAATGTTTGGGAAGGTTCATTCCAGTGGGTCAGAAAGATGTTTGTGCCTCTTGGCAAGCAGTTCATCAACAAGCCACACAAACTGCTACACTTGGAATGGCTACAAAGACCTGAGGAGCCTCCTTCTCTCCAGTCCCAGGAGAAGAAAGGAATAGTCTCACAGAAGCATCGATGCCCTCAGAGGGTACTAGAAACTTGAGAGCTTTATTTATTTATTTGAAACTTTTGTACCCCATCCAACCTCTGATGTCTTGGGACGGCTTACAACAAGGAGCAAACAAAATGACAAAACAAAACAAAAGAAACACAGCATCCAGTAAATCAAGATAAAACCCCAGTTAAAACCAACTAAATATTAAAATAATGGGAAAATAAAAAGGGTTTCACCTGATCCCGAAAAGAATAAAGCGTTGGCGCCAGGTGAACCTCTCTGGGGAGGCTTTGCAAGATCCCTGATAGCTTACCCTGAGGGAGGTGCATGATTCCTACGCTGAACCCGGAGATGATGTCCCCAAGTAGCCATTCCTTGACTGGATACCGTGGTAGCCACCTCAGGATGGGAAGGAACCGGAACAGCAAGGACTTTGCAGTCGACCCCGAGCATCTGCAGGGAGGCGCATATTTGAGAGGGGAACATGGTCTTCGTGTTGTATTGGGGCCTGGGGATTGGGTAATGGGAGCACTGGGAGCTTATGGGAGAACTGGGAGAACTGTCTTATGGCCCATCCTAGACGCCTTTTCACCGAGGGGCCTCTGAGCAGACTGAAGCGGGATTCCATTCCGGAGGAGCCCCCCAGTGCTGATTTCGGTGGTGGGCAGTTCCAGAGGCAAGAAGGAGCACAAGTATGATCGTATTTTAGCGTCACTGCTGGAATGAAGACTTAGGAGAGGCATTTCAACAGGATGGGCAAGAGGGAGTGGGGCCAGAGGAAGGGGAGCATGGTCATCTGGGGAAACACTGGGGATGCTGGGAAAATTCAGGTAAATATTGGGAGAAAAAGATAGCTTATAAGTGTCTTTGTGTTATAAAATCAAACCTGAACCTCTTTCTCACAAAGCAGCAGCATTCCAAGCCAGGTTACCCTTTCGCATTGCTGTTGCCTTAAGAAGATGGCATTCTTAGCTGAACTGAGAAGCTGCTGGAGGCTAATACTATCAGTGGGGAAATACCGATGTTCAGACTGCTGAGACAAAGACATTCATTCGTTTCTGAATGGATCCATTTAATCATCTAGCTCAACAGAGGCAAGCGCCTGCCTGAGCAGGAGCAGCCGCAGCGCAGCAGCCAGCATAGTTTTAATAAATAAAATAAATAGTAGTTGTCAAACCAGATTTCCTGAGTGGTTTTTATTTATTTTATTTATTTTTCAATTTATATCCTGCCTTTTTCCCACAAAGGGCTCAAGGCAGCTTGCATCTCCTCCTCCATCTTATCCCCACAACAACAACCCTGTGAGGTAGGTTGGGCTGAGAGTCTGTGACTGGCCCAAAGTCACCCAGTTGGCTCCATCAGACACATTTGCATGTTTAAACGGACACACTGGCTGACCTGAACTGTCGAGAATTTACTAGATTGACCTATCAATAAAGCAATGTTTTCCATGCTATTGTTACCAATATTTCGGATCGGTTTAGAACATTATGTGATGCCTAAAGACATCAAGATACTATTGTACTAAGATTACCTGAAAACTTAACACTCTGAATTGGTGTATGTGACTAGCAGCTTATAAAAGCGTCTGTACATGGGCTGTGATCTTGTAGTTTTGTTTGCCTGTACCCAGTAATGCATTATCATTAGTGACTGCAGGTACAGCTCACGGCTCACGAATGCCTTGGTTCATGACCAAATTGGGTTGCAAACAAAAATTTCATGAAAATTTTGATGTGGGTTGTGAACTGTGACCAAGATCGCAGCCATCTCCCCGCCCCCCCCCCCCCCAAGTGGGGAGATGACCACGATCGCAGTTGTGTTCGTGCAGGGAAGACGTGCGTGATCATGGGCGCGCTCTTGCAGGAAAGACGGGCGCCATATCGGCCATCTCTCCCCCTCCAACTAGCGCAATCGCGGCCATCTCCCCACTCAGTGAGATGTGCTGGTTGTGGACTGTGCTCCCTCCCCCAGCACGCCCCGTTCGCGCCCGTCTCTTCGTCCCCCAGCACGCCCTGCCCTCTTCGTGCCTGTCTCTCTGTCTCCCAGCACGCCGGGATGACGGGCGCATGCAGGGAGGATAGGCGCGATCTTGGTCATGCTGGGGGGAGGTGGCTGCTCTCGTGCTCAGGGTGGGGAGGGGGAGATGGCCGCGATCTTTGTTGTTCTTTGTCACTTTGCTTCTCATTTTTCTGATTAAAAAAAATGGTTACAGTACAGATTAACCTTATTTACATTGAACCTTATGGGGAAATTTAACTTGGGTCACGACCAATTTGGGTCACGACCAGAGTCCTGGAACGGATTAAGTTCATGAGCCAAGGTACCACTGTACTGGGCCACCAATCAATAAAGCCACAGAAGTTCAAATGTTTGTTCTTCCCCACGAACCTGAGTGTTCATTTCCTCGCAACTTGAAGACCAAATTCTGTCAGGGGTCAGAGTGGCATCTCAGGCAGGCTGGACTTGGCCCCAGATCTGCAGTGCATCTCGAGCGGGTGGAGGAGGGACTGTTCCACCCACCGCCACTGAACTCCTCGAGTGCAGTGAGTGGCGGTGACCTTCTTGGCCTTTTCGGTTCAAGGCACAGCGAGGAACTCAGCGAGGCTTTGGTGGGAGAGCCTCTTGGCTTGCAGCCCTCCCATTTCCACCTGGCTAGCCTGGATCTGAAGAATCACCTCTGCCAAGGGAAAAGGCTGAGGGGGCCAAGCAGCAGGGCCATGTTTCATGGCCAGTTGCAATGCAGGAATGTCTCCTCTTGAGGTGGAGACCTTTATCTGGGTATGAAACACCGGGCCACCATGCCAGCCCATTTAGTGTGCAAAATAATGTGCAAGAGTAAACAGACGATTGCATGTTGACAACTGAGGCATATTAGGAAGCAAAGATGAGCAACTTCATAACGGAACCAGTGCTCACAGAGGTGAAGGACCAGGACCTTTGGATCGTGGGGAGGAGGCTGCCAGCTGCTGCTCTGCCTCACGGCTTTCCTGTTCTGTCCCAAGTGCTGGGCCGGAAAAACGGTTTCCCTCAAAGGACCCACTGCCCCCAGTTGAACGTTCCAGGTTGCAATGCAAAGTATTTTGGCAGGGCGGAGCTTCCTCATGAAAGGGGAAGTAAGCCAAGCCCCATTCGCGTTGCAGAAAGCCTGTTCCTGCTGAAGATAAATGGCTTGAACTGGTTCGTTGATATCTGCTGTCTGTCTGCTGCGCTGTCCTTGGGGGCGTGGCTATGGGGACTGCCCTGATCAGCGCTTGCACTTCAAATTTCGCCACTGGAGATAAGTATTTATCTAACTTGCTTTAAGCTTGCTTTCTTCCAGCAGTGGCACTGTGGCCACTAGGATGGCATGGAAAATCACTGATTCTGCTGGTGTGAAACAAGTCAGGCAATCCAGGGAGCAGCTGCATGTAGAGTTCTCAGAGGAACCCACAGCTCAGATCTGTGCTCAGATTTCTGCAAATCCCGTGCCCCTATTCCACAGCTGGCCCATATTCCCTGAGCCAGTGCATTCTGCAGCCTCGCAGACTGTTTTTTCACACTGGGGTTGGGGGAGGTATTTTTGCTGATGCATTAGCACAAGTACACATGAGTGCAAATGTGAATTAGCACAAATAGAATTAAATTTTGGTACATACAGATTGGATGCTGTCAACAACACAATCTGCAGAACAGAGCAAGTGAATTTAGCAAGAGCCTTGTATCCCTAGTTTCCATACAACCCCACATAAGTAAACAATGCGTGATGTATTCATTACAAAGGTCAGTATTTGGATCCTGAAGCAAACGTTAGCACTGTCTTTCTTTTTCCTGTTTTACTCCTGGACCACTTGTAGAGTAATCCTACATGTGTTTATTTGGAAACAAGTCCTGCTGTGCTTGATGAGGCCCTGCTCCCATGTAGGTTTGCACAGGGTTGTGGTCTTCATCACTTGGATGGGGCTGAGTTACAGTATAAAGAAACACACTGTAATGTCCAAATTTAACTAAACAAAACAAAGTCTCACTAGAACTGTGCCGAATAATTCAGAGGACGGCTTTATTAGATTGTGTGTCAGTATCAATGTACAGGAAGAACACGTGCTATAGCCCTTTAGCACATGCAGGCTGCATAAATAGAGCCACATGTCCCAGTGGCCTTCATGGCCCCTTCCAGCTCTACTATTCTATGATTCTATGAATGTTAGCCCATGGAAAAGATCCTCACATGGAGAAAGCCAGCATTTCAAGGAAAATGCAAGGTCTAAAGGCCTTCTTTGAGAAATACCAACATTCCAAAGGCAAAGAGTCTATTACACGGGAACATGCAGTCCCAGCATCCACACTGCAGTCCAAAGTGGCACATTTTGGAAGGATAATGCCACATTCTTTCCATTGCATCTTATCCACTCTAAAGCATACAGAAGGCCTGGTGGCTCCTCTTTCAGGGGAGACAAGTGCGAGCTACAAAAAAGTTGCAGCGTGTCGTATTCCTTCCCAGAGTTTCAGCCAGCCCGCAATGCCTTTCTCTTCCATTCCCCCTCCCACCATTTGCCACCCACCTCTCAGTAACTCATCAGCGTTCCAGGGCCCTTCCTGGAGAATCCCCCTCTTTTAAGATTTGGTTTCAAAATAGTTTGGTACTTTGGCCAGCTTCAGGATTTCCTTAGATCTGTGGATGCTTCCTTCTTGTGGGTAGGCAGTGACATTTGAGCTACATAAACTGCAGCCTTCAACACTGACAGATGGAATGATAATGGGCAGCCAGTGTGAGAGCTGGACTGCTCCCCTATTGCTTTCCTAGTGATCCCAAACGTATGGCCAGATGTTTCGCAGTATGGGTAACCTGGAGTATTCAGTCACTATTTATCGTCAAGCATAAGTGGCATCGATGCATATTCACCGTTCACACAACACCCTCTTTTATGAGGATGCCCTTTCTCGCTTCCAGAGCTCATGGGAGAGCCGCAGGGTACATGCCTGGCTCCTCACATCAGCATCTGCAGGGAGTTGTGGAGTCACCCTACCTTTTCTCCCGGAGCTTGGCCCAGATGGTGGGTGATGGGTCCTGGTTCCGCAGACCAATCGTCTCTAGCTCAGCCTCACTCAGCACGTCGTGCGCTGCCCTGGGACGCTGTGCCACGTGGTTTCCCTCCATCCCTTTGGCACCAGTGCCACCTGCTTAGTGCATTGGCTTCAGAACTAAGAAGAGAGGAGGGAAGGATCTGAGGGCCCATGACGCGACCGGCTGCTTTAGGAACATTGGAAACTGCTCCCTTGGGTTACCCACTGCCCTGGCTTCCACCTCGGAATCTGCTCCTTTGGGTTCTTAGTTGCACTGTTTTGTTTTGCTTTGCTTTTTTATGGAATCAAAATAATAGAAGACTCTTCCTCAATGTGCTGCCCTCTAGATATTTTGGACTACACCTCCCATCACCCCTGGCCACTGGACATCCTGGCTGAGAAAGGTGGGA